TAGGATTATTTCCGGTTCTTGCGATCTTTAATACAATTCACTAAAACATAAGATCTAATATTTCATTGAAACAAAATAAACTCGAGTTTAATAATGTTATGATTCAGATTTTTTAAACAAACATGGAATTTCGACTTCTTCAACTATGCTGGAATACTGCGACCCGTATATATCACGCGAAAGCCATTTACATATATTGACGATATTAGTATCAAGGCTGAGGCAAATGGTAAAAAAAAACAATTCCAGCAAGGAAATTTGCTACGAACTTTTCTCCAAGAACGAAATTTAGTTGAAGTTTATTTAAAAAAATTTAGGGAAAAATTTATTTTAGAAAATGTTGTGTTGTAAAAATAAATTTGTTATAATTCATATCAACTAATCATTTAAGTTAACCCTTGTATTTAATAGCGTTTCATTATCAGTTATTTTTCCGCTCACCACAACTAATTATAGGATCTTTCTCCTACAACGTAAGCACAATAACGAATAGTGAGTTGGGAACGATTCAGGTCACTATAACGGATAGCTATGGTATCGTAATATTTGAAAGTAATCAATATCATTATACTGGTCATATCGACAATATTCAACCATGGTGGCCTCGTGATATGGGATCTCCCGTATTATATAATTTCGTGGTAAAATATTGGTTACATATTGTCTAGAAGTCATTATAATTTTAGCATCATCATAAAGACTATTTTAAATAGAAGTACATTTCCTGAAGATAAGATAAAATTGATCAATAGGATATCAGTTATCAGACAAGGGAAGAAAAAAGTGACGAATTTTGAAATGCACTTTGCAGTAATTTATGAATTTTTTTTGCATTGAGTTGATGTATTAATTAATTTTAATTTAATATTGCTATTTTAAAACAAATAAAACTATTTTTAAACAAAGAAATGGATTTACCGAAATTTCTCGGTAAATCCATTTATTTGTGTGTAAAAAAGTTATTGAATAATGATTTCATAACACTGAAACAAAGAAAGGAATAAGAATAACACACTGGAATTAAAAAAATACAATTGTTCAGATTATGGCATAAAGTGAATTTTCAGGTTCAATTAACAATCTCAGGTATTTTAATCGATGTGTATCGTTTATGGTTTGGTTTCCGCACTATAAGTATTTCAAATGATCAAACTTTCATAAATGAAAGACCATTTTATTGCCATGGTTTTGGTATGCATGAAGATTTTGAAGTGAGTTCTCTTTTGTTCAGATATAGTGATAAATTCAGATATAGTGATAAATTTATCACCTTTACCTCCAAATAATTTCTAGTTAATATCTTTCTAGTTTTGGTGCAGGTAACTTGGAATGAAACTTGAAAATTGCCTAATTTATTGTGATCAGTAATATTGCAGGAAGATATTAACTAGAAATTATTTGGAGGTAAAGGTGATAAATTTATCACTATATCTGAATTTTCAAGTTTAATCCTACTTCATTTTTATTCTGAAATAAAAAAAAGAGATGATTAAAAAAACAATTCAATAAATTAATATTAGCAACTCTTAATTCAGGTGCTAATTTAAGATGCAAAGATACAAAGATGTGACTGGAAATATCTGACCGATTAAAGAAATGTTATTCAAAAGATAACGATAGTTTATTAAAGAAATGTTATTCAAAAGATAACGATAGTTTATTGTGATCAGTAATATTGCAGGAAGATATTAACTAGAAATTATTTGGAGGTAAAGGTGATAAATTTATCACTATATCTGAATTTTCAAGTTTAATCCTACTTCATTTTTATTTTTATTCAAATGAAAAGTTTAAATGATTTGGTAAGTTGCAGCTTCATGGTCGTGGTTATAATCCGGTAGTAATGACCAAAGATTTGAATATGCTTGAATGGATGAATGGTAATTGTTATCGTACATCACATTATCCTTATAGTGAGGAAATGGCTTCTGAAGCTGATCGTCGTGGTATTGCTGTTATCACTGAAACACCTGCTGTTGGGTTAAGGTAAGTTGAAGAAAAAGAAAAAAAAATTGAAGAAAAATATTGACAACCTTCAAGTGAAATTTTGAAATTATTTGCGCCAAAATCATATCGAACTTCAAACACTTAATGTCGTCAGCTAAACATTGGCATCATCAATTTTTAATTTCTAGTTGTCAATTCTTTTTCACATATAAAATTTTTAAACTTGGTTTACATAACATGTTTCTGGGGATTTTTTAAGTAAAGTAATGGTTTAATGAATTTGTTTAATTTCGTAATATAAGTTATATAATAATTATCACATCCTTCTCTCTATACTACCTTATATGTTTAATCACTTAATATTTAATTCATTTATGAATAAATGATAATTTGATCATTTCAGCTATTTTACAAAACAAAACCAATTGTTGCATGCAGAAATGATACGTGAATTGATTGAACGTGATCGAAATCATCCGTCAATAATTATGTGGTCATTAGCTAATGAGCCAACGTCTAGTGATCCAGCAGCTCGATCATATTTTAGGTTAAATTCCTCTTAGATTTTCTATTTCTCCTTTACATAACTTTTTATTTATCTACTAGTATCACTGAAGAGATTTGTTAAGTGAAAAAGCATCTAAGATCTCAAAACTGTTTTTATTCGATAATGAAAAAGATAAGCTTTGAAAAGAAACAATAACTAAATTACACAATTCGATTTTTCATATATTTGTATTTCAAGTCTCTTTTCGTTCATTACTGCCAAATGTAACAAAGAAATTTGCATTTTTTAATTGTTCGTGATGAATCATCGATCGAATTAATCATAGTAGCAGTCTCAATGATCTATGCAAAACATTTATAAAATTTAATGAAATAAATGAAGAAAAATTAAAACTTATAACAAATCAATTTCAGTGAACTAATCAATTTGACGAGGGCAATTGATCCAACTCGACCTGTTACAGCCGTATTGGCAGCAAGTTTCGATGCCGAGCAAGTAGTAAGGCTTTGTCTTCACTTCAGATAAGCGCAATCTCCCATGGAAATGAAACTTTAAAAACTAATTGCTTAATTACTATAAGCCATTCATATTCTCAATTTTTAACATCTTTCTGATTTAAATTAATAATTTTCAGGCTGATCTACTTGATTTAATTTGCATTAATCGATATTTTGGTTGGTACATTGATATCGGTTATTTGGAAACCATTAATCACAGTTGGATATTTGAAGTTAACAGTTGGAAATTAAGATACAATAAACCAATAATTGTGTCCGAGTATGGTGCAGAAGCGCTACCAGGTTTGAATCAAGTATGCACTGCAATATTTTCAACCATTGGTTCAGTGTGATATAAAATCAAAACAAAGTGATTGTTACATCTTTCTGGTTTCCAAAATTCTGGGAACTGATAAAAACAATAAAATTATCGTTGATTTCAACTATGATGTTTGTCGTAGAAATGTTCATGAAATTTCTCAATTTTAAGGAACCAAGTCATGCCTTTAGTGAGCAATATCAGCAAGAACTAATAAAACAAACACATCATGCATTCGATATATTAAGGAAAAATCACACAATTACTGGTGAAATGATTTGGAATCTTGCCGATTTCATGACAGCTGATGGTTTGTTCAAACTAATTTATCCTAATAAATACGAAAACAAAACAAAATTAAATTAAGATTTCGAAGTTCTATGGAAAATATTACAAGTCTAATAAAAATTTTCATTGCAGGTGTGACACGCGTAGTGGGTAACCATAAAGGAGTGTTAACACGTAATCGACAACCCAAAATGGCAGCTTATATTCTGAAGGAGCGATATAAAAATTTGGAAACAACAGTGAATGACTTGAAATAAAATTTTTGGAATAAATTTGTTTACAATACTTTACAATACTTGCAATGTTTAATGTCGTATGAAAATTTTTTATCTCGCTATTGTACAAGATATCGTGAAGTCTAGCGTGAAGCCGAAGTAATTTGAGGTTCAAACATTGAACCATCTCAAATTTGAGTAATTAAATTTCTTCTACTCCATTATTCTTTTATTCCTAAAAATATTAATTTATTATTTCAACTATAAATGTCTCACTGCCCTGAGTTGTTTATATTTTTTCAAATGAAAAACTGAATTAAATTTTAATTGAATTAAAAGCAGTTAATTATTCCAGTAAAGTAATATAAAAATATTGTTGACATATTATATGAAATAAAAACAAAGGATTAAAGGCTACTCCAAAAACAATATTTGGAATCTTTGAATCTTGCCTACATTCTTTAATCGTTTCTTTTGAATACAGTAATTTGATAAATGAATTCCTTTATGTTATACGTGATTCATATCTCAGTCAATTTCAATGACACTCAGATAGTAGAAGAATTTTAATCCTTTTTAAATGAACATTATAGTGAAACCGTGATAGTCTACATATACATATCTGCTTGTATTTTCTCAATTCCACGACAACATGTTCTCTTGAGTAACTGAAAGAGTGTTAAAAGTCATCTGTTTCACTAATTTCAGAACTTCGTATATTTCTCTCATATGTGTTAAAAATAATCTATAAAAAGATATTCAAGTTAATTTGGAACTTGATATATTTACACTTTTTCGTTCCCATTAAAGTTTTTGAGTTTTTTTCAGTTCCCAACTTTCAAGCTGGTCTTATCTGTATTAGTGGATGGTTAAGAGTGATAGCTTAAAAATCATTAATTATTGTTGGATCACTATGTTTGAAGGAATAACTAGAAATTAAAACACAACAAATCAATTACTGCATCGAAATAGGGAACAGAAGTACTTTAACATTTCTGCTGATCTCATTAATCTTCAATCTGGAAAAATAATCTCTAACTGAAGCACAATAGTTATAAATTGCCATCAACAGTATATTAATTTCAGATTAATAACGATCTATGACTGAATAAAAGGTTCTTTTATAATGGAAATTGTTATTTTACACTTACATTAATTTCCTTTAGCGTTTCCTAACAAGACAAAAGAGCTGAGAAGGAGTTTTCGCAACAGATACTGTACAGCGGTTAATTTTCACTTATGCTGATAATCGTTTTGCCTCTTCCTTTTTTTCTCAGTACTTTCTCATAAGCCATCGGAAGTTCATCATATTTGAAAATTTGATCAATCACTGGCTTCATCTAAAATTTCAAGAATACATTTTAAAGAAAATTGAAAATTCAAATAAATTAAAATTATTCGATTATCGTTCAAATTTTAACCTTGCCATCCTTCAGAAATTTCGAAATCTGCTGCATACATTCTGGATGTGGAGCAAAAAACGCATACGAATACCGCTGTCCGCGTCGAACTGCTGGCTAAAATGAGGTTTGAAATAAAAACCGACATTATTTTGAACGATAAAAAAAGCTGGACTTGAAGAAGATAGGAAAACATCGTAACTACTGGAAATCAGAAAAACTAGCCTTTAGTATATACATGATCTAAAGTTACAGTGATATCTGCACAAGTAAAAAAGGGTAAAAACTACCATGAAGTTCCTGAATTTCAAATGTTAATCTAAAAGTAGCCCAACTAAAATCCAAAAAAACTAATATAGCAACCGTGGGATTTCTTGGTATAAAAGTTTTCTAGACTTGTAATCAAACTGTTAACAGAATGAGTTGTTACGTTAAATTGTTACGCACACTTTGAGGAAAATCGTAATAATTATTATACGCACATAAAAAAACCTTCATTCAAACAAAAAAAGGAAAACTTAGGATAATTTTGAATAATTTTTTAAAATTAATTACAAGTAAAACGAACCAATGTTGCTTTCAAGAAATACTTTACAGCAGTTGAAGCAATCCCAAGTGGTATTCCATACCTTAAAAAGAAAATTCGAACACAGGAAAAAAAGGATGGGAAAGAGTGAATGCAAATGGATCACACTCCCTAATTGCAACATGTCAACTCATGAAGATTAAAAGTAAGGATTTGATGCTTAACATTTTTTGACGTATTTTGGAAAACCCATTATAAGGATAGGTTCCAAGTGTGATGAAATCATCAGAAGAGACACTACCGAATTATTAGAGAACATGAATAATAAACAGATATGAGTAAATAAATTAGAATTCCTATACTGAGGATGAATAAGTAAAATTGGCTAAAACTAAAATCACAAAATTATACTACCGAAAGAAGCAAAGTGATTTCAGTTTTAGCTAAAGTTACTTTAACTTAAGATTGAGATAGTTTCTCCTCTCCTTAAAACAACGAATTTTCATTAATCAATACAATTTTCAAACCTGTCAGTATCACTAAGAAGTGGGCTTAAAAGAGAAACATGCACACTACTACGCCATAATCCCATCACTTTACTATTCCATTCTGCCAACTCTGATTGAGCACAATCCAACACTACATCAAATGGTCCTTCACTAATTAACTTTTCCAAAGCGTCTGGTCTTTTGTAATTTATTGGTATTGCTCCAAGTTCTTGCATCATATTAAAACTGAAACAATAACAATTAAAAAATTGAAAGGACAGTGCAAGTTCCAAACATAGCTTAAAATTTTTTGCAACTATCTTGCATAGTTTCCACATTAACAACACTAATTCCCTAAAATCTTCAAGATTTTGAAAAAAATTTATCTGTTGAAATTGTAATTATATCAGTGACTGAATTCGTCAATTACTATCAAATATTACAATGAGCTGATATATTTTTGAGAACATCTAAGAATTGTTAGCAAAGCAGTACAAATAATCGATACTTATTCACTCAACAGATTAAATGAAATTATTTAATAGTTGTAATAATTTAGAAAACTTCGTTGCACAAAAACACTATCATCACCGGATATACTAAACTAAATAATTCTTACTGAAATATTCCCATTTGTTATTTTTCTATTTATCTATCTGTTTGCTTATTTACTGAAAAAAGTATTTCAAAACCTAAAAGTTACAATAATTAACCTACCAATCATCCGAGCAAGTCACCACTACCTTATCAACATTCCACGCTTTGAGCACTTGTATTGCTGTTGTTCCAACACCACCAGCACCGCCGTGAATCAATACACGTTGTGATGCAGCATTGTATGGATTAATTCGAGCTACCTAAAACTCATGGAACGGCAAATCCAAAAGTACTTAAATTCCCTTGAGACACCGACGACACATTCTCAGGTAATGACACGATTGCAAGCTATGACTTTTCTGAAACATATTCAACTCCGTCAATCCAACACCTCCCCGAAAGGATGTTTAGGTCAAAATTTATAGGGAAATGAAGGAAAGCCCCAACTAAATTTTAATTTTAAACGTTTTCAAACCGATGCAATTCAAAGTTAAGTATGAAAGTGTTAGGCTACAAGAATATCAATCACATTTGCAACAAACTTTGTATTTTTCATTACCGAAACTAGTGCCGACCAAGCGGTACAAGCTGTATATGGGAATGCGGCGCCATCAATATATGATATATTAGTCGGTTTCAAAACACAGTTTGATTCGTTTGCCACTACAAATTCTGCGTGTGTTCCTGAACTGAACGGATCGACCACAGCAATTACCTACAAAAAACCCGCAACATCATCAGAAAATGAAGAGCATAGTTAATCAAACCCGCATTCAAAAATGATGTTCGACAAATGGAAATTATTCTCTCGACATTTCAGCAAATTACTTATGAATTTTTCATAAAGCTCATGACAAAATGCAAAAATAAAAATGAAATTTCAAGCATTTATTAAGATTTGAAAATTCAAAGAAATTAGAAGAAATAACTGCAAATTAGATAATTATAATAATTTTAAAATTCTTGAGAAAAAACATCTTTGGTTTTACCTGATCACCTTTTTTGAATTTTTTCACATTTCCACCAGTCTGTTCAACAATACCACTACAGTCTCGTCCACCAATAAATGGTAACAGTATTGTGGAATCCAGTGAACAATTTCGGAGATTTTTTACTGCTGAACATAATCGTCGTCCATATCCTTTTCGCATTACAGTATCAATTGGGTTTACGCTGGCGGCCTGAGGAGTAAAAAGAAAACGCAAATTTGCATATCATTTCAGAGAAAATTTAAGCAAATTTTCATCGCCTGGTCCTAATTTCAAAGACCAACAATTTTTTATGAATTTAATAAAAATTAAACCAACCATAACTTTGACGAGAAGCTCATCTGGTTTCTTAATTGCGGGGATTGACATTTCAACTCTCTCCATATCACCATCGAATTGTTTTGTTACCCATGTTGATATTCTTTTCTCCCAGGATTTATTAGCAATGATAGACCCTAATAACCGCTGCGTGTCACGCACGATCATGCTAAACATGAAAAAGATTTTTTTAAATTGAAACATTTTATTTAAGACATTTTTTAAAAAAATTTTATTTACCTCTTTTCATCAATCAGAATCAATTAAGTCGTTTTTTAGGTAATAAATGAATTACTAAATCTCTGATTCCCTTGTTGAACAAATGAATAATTCTAATCGGTTCAGCTGTCATAATCAAACGATAGGCACCATAAGCGATACTTCAAATTACTACATTAAAATGATAAGTAAATTACCGCAGTAAATCATTTCAATGAAGTGATAATCATTTGTGACTTGTGAACTACTACAATTAAGTAATAAGCATAAATAAAGAAGCATATAGAAGTATTACACATAAAAATGATTTCAATTTCAAAATTTTACAAACAGAACTGATGCACGTAAACCTTTTTATTCAGAAAAAAGAATGCACAGGAAAAAGAAGAAATGAATTTAATTACTAAACCAATTTCAAACCTATTCTTTACTGTACAGCTGGCTTAAAATTTAAACTACCAATCATTTGTAAAAGTTCCAAAGCTTAAGCAATTTATCGCTTTATTTCTTCGATTTTTATCCTTTTTTTAGAAACAAATTTAGTCTCTTTCTTTTCATTATTCTGTTAAACAAAGCTTTAAAACTAGAGATATTAGTTTTGAAACATAATTTGAAACAAAAAAACTGTCAAATGTTACAATGATATTAAGGTAGAGGTCTCATATTATTATTCAAACAAAATAGAACAATCTATTTAAAAAATTTTTAAGTTCCAATTCCTAGCTCTTCATGTAATGTACAGACACGCAGTAACTAAATTGATAAAATTTAACCACCAGTCCTCTAACATTCTCACTATTCGGAATATTTCATCGTACTTTTACTAACATCAGATAATATCTACAGCACATTGGACATTTTTACGAAAGTTTTTGATAAATCAAGAGTAGTTTGCCGTGTATTAGTGAAATAAACCATAATTTTCGGCAGTTGCTAGCTTATCCGGACAGCAACCTACAACAATATTCTTACTTTTCTTTCAATTGGTATTTCTTTCGGATGAAACTATTACATCAACTAATTTTTAGCGACAGCAATTACAAATATTCACTAAAATCAATTTTTTCGGTTTGAAAAATTTTTCGAAATTCATTATTTAGCAAAGTATCCAATGATACATCATCGCGAGTGCTTATCCATTTTTTACCAACCAAATCAAACCTAAAAATACATTCAGCAATTTATCAACTATTTGCGATTATATCAGCTACCTGAAATAAATATAAAAAGCTATTGATATATTAGATAAAGAAGACACTTCCGCTTGGTGAATTTTAACAAACCAACACTGTTTTCAGTATCATAAGATTTAACTGTTGCGTTGAGACAATTTTTTGAAGATTCAGAAAGTAGAAGCAAAACATGTGAGACTGCCTTGCTTGGCTTTCCAATTTCATCAAATATTACCTCGATTTCAGATTATTTTTGCAATTCTAACTCTTCTGAGCTTGCAGTTGGCAACCCAGGATTTAGTGACTTATCAGCCTTATATAAATTTTTGATTTGCTTCAATGTTTCCCTATTTTTTGGTTCATAAAACTACAATCTGTGCTGCAATCTTCATATGCAAGTTAAAAATTTTGTCTTGAAAATATACCGCTTCGGACCGGACAAAGGTGAAGAGAGCCAAATTTGTCGATTTGGTGTTTGCTTGTTGATAACATAAGTACCCGTTTTTTGGCTAATTTTGGCCGTAACGACACCCATGGACGAATTCACATAATACTCTTCGGCACAATTGAATTTATCCGGAAAGGAATCTAGATAATCAGCCAATTTACCCAATGTTTCAATAGCCAGCTTTTCATATTCATCTTCCGATAAAGCAGCTCCCGAACTTAGATATCTCCCTACAAAAACAATGAAGTTCAGATTTGATGTCAAAACAAAAAACCAAAAAACAAATATTACAATAAATAAAATGTTTCATTCAGCGAAAAAAGTTTGATAAATCAAAATAACAGCTTTCGATTTCAAAAAAACCCCACTTTTTAAGAAAGGTCGTGTAGTTATCAGCGCTGTAAGCAACTGCCGTCTTAACATTTCATCTGCATTTGAATCTGACAATAAACACTTCCGATGGAAACCTCACAATCTAAAATCAAATTCAAAATTGAAAACTTCATCTACACCAAATAATGAAGGAAATTTTCTTGACGAAATAAGAACTATTTGTTTAAGCGTTTTAATCAGTGAGATAATGCTTCCGTCGTTTTATTTAAATTTGATTTTAGGACTATTAACTGAACAATAAATTTAAAATTACCCAAAAGAAGATAATGCTTTTCTGATAACAAAATTTAAAGAAATAGTAAGTAGGGGAAAGAAAAGTATAATGGCACCTGACAAGCAGAATATTAACAATGATTTAAAAGTTGAACTTTAATATTTAAAAATCAATGCAATATTTCAAGTTGGTAAATTTACCACAAAAGAATGAAAACAAAACATTGAACATATTTTTTAAAAAGTCGAACACTTTCACTTAACATTTTTAAAGACACTACATAAAACACAAACTTGTTCAGTAAATAATCATTCAGCATGATTTTGATAAACTCGATATGTCAATGAACTACTTTAATTAGGAATAAATTTCATATAATTTCACCGCTATATGCATTTTTATTTACTGACATCATACTGACTGGTGTACATTTTACAATTATGTCTTCAACAGGAATAGTACGTGAAGTTTTCATGATTGAAATTTTGCTTAAGAAAAGAAGTAAAGCAAAAGCTAAATTTTCACAATTTTTTCAACAGATCTTTCATATCTTTTCTTCCACTCCCCTTTGTACCTCATCCTTTTTTGTTATCCTTCTGTTTATTCTTTTATTCTAGTATTATTTACTTTTAGCATTTACTTGCAGACAAGAGCGAAAACAGCACATGCAATTAAAATGCATAATGAGGCTACCGTACGTCTGAAAGAATTACGTCAAATTGTTCAAAGTGAAGTGGCCGGCTCGGGTAAAGGCACCGATGAAATTATACAATTACAGGTAGACGAATGAAAAATGTTCAGTTTTATAACTTGTTTTGAAAATTCTGAATGATTTCCTGCGAAAAAAATAAAGGAATGCCAGCTAGTAATCATTAAATTTAAATAACGGGTTTAGTAGTTGTAAAATGGCTAACAATAACAGGCATATCAGAAAAAACAGCTACGGTGCCAATCGTTCGAGCTATCGGCAACTCAAATCTGAACGAGGAAATTATCATTCGTAATACCCTATGCAATAATACTTCAGGGTGGTGGCGAATTACATTTTGTGAACACAAAAAATACGCGTGCATATTATTTGAATCATGAAGAATCATGGCTATATCTTGAACGTGAAAATGATGGTACATCAGGAACATTATATATCGTACGACGACTTCCGGATGGACGTGTTATCACAAAAAGTATGCAAGACTGAATATAAAACCTCATGCGCAAATCTCTTGGCAGTGAAAATCAAAACGATTCTTATTAAGCAAAATCTAATCAAAACGATTACGAATTTTTGAATTAAAGTTCAAATATTGAATTCTTAACGAAAACTACTTATTCTATGGGTTGCTAAAATGCTGGCCAGAAGCTACAGTTGTGTCTGGTGACAATAACTGCTTTCTAAAGGACATCTAAATTAGATATGCATCAGATGGCATTTGTTAAGGGCAAGGAAAGAAATGATGTTCCAGAAAAACCTAACCAACTACAATAAGTTAGAAATAATAATGCATAAATTGTCGCATTCCAGAACATTTCTCGATCTGTGTGCATCAAGACTTGTTCTGATAGTAAGGATTAAATGGAGATCTGTCTTTTCCGATCCACTGGCCAGGGTCTTCCACTGGTCGTTCCCAATCGACGAAATGCTCATCTCCAAATTTAAATAGCCTTGGAAATTTCGATCGTTCTTCCGCTGTGTATTCGTCGGATCGTTTCGCAACACGTTGTACTTGCTCCATCTGTAAATAGCGATTGTTAGAAAGCAGTCCAAAGTCATGAGTTATCTAAAGTAATGAATAAGATATGCTCTGGTTGTTGCTGTCCTTGCATTTTTAACATTCCCAATTCCGGAGCTTTCTTCGATTCACTGTTATGATCATTTCTATTGTATAGACTATTCTAATGACGTTACTAAGGCGGAAGCATTGCGAACGGAATAAATAAGAACAAAATATGCAAACGAACCAACGAAGAAAAACAGGAAACCAAAAGTGCAAATCTTCATCAGTTTCAAATTGTCATTATAAGTTATAAAATTGCAGATGTTGAAAACATAACTACCTGATTTCCGATATTTTTCTGCACAAAGACTGGCATTTGATCATCCGCAAATAAATGCAACCTTTCGATTAATCGTTTGCGAAGCTGATTACGACCAAGACTTCTGTATACCGTCATATGCATTATTCTACATGGATCGAAATCCTGAATTTGCCAGGCTGGGTATTCGATCTTTGATTTTGGCAGTTCCTAAAAGTATTCAACAAAATTCACTATAAGACAGTAGTAAAAAACAATTAGAATCCTTTTAACAACCAAAAAATAAAACTTTTCAAGTATTCATCTTAAACGGATTCATCAGTGGTATAGAGAATGTTGATATGCTATTACATCGCATTTTAAGTATTTTTGTTTATGTAGTAATGTTTTCATAAACAAAAATTTTATTATCAATATGTCGTATTTTAGATAGGAAGGCAACCTTCACAATAAAAATTTCAGTAAATTTCTTATAATAGAGATTAACAACAGCTAAATTATTATAAGGATTAAACATGAACTAAGAAAAAGCATGAACTAAGTTAACTGTAATGTACATAAGTAACCACAGAACAAATGCCAATGTACACTAAGTGAAAGTGAAACAAACCTTATCAAAGAAAAACCGCTGATTTTTCCAATTGAAACCCTGCATTGCAACATCTTTACAGTTTATCACCACAACATGATCACCACAATCGGTGAATGGGTGATAAATTGGTTTGTGTTTACCAGCTAAATAATTTGCTATTTTCTTGCCAAGCATCCAAACATCCTGAAATACTACGAGAATTAACAAACAAGAGATTTTAGTACCATAAAAAAGTCGAGAATCAACTTGAAAAGCATAATAAATGATGTATTTTAAAGAAGACGGGAAATAAGTGATGCATATAAATAATGTGTTTTAAAAGATAGGGAATAAGTGTAATTGTCACAAGGCTACCATCTATTATGTTCAGTGATTTCATGCTAAAAAACATAGGAAAAAGTTGAATAAATGCTTCCGGAAAATCAGATGTATTTTACAAAAGATTAAAAAACTGTTGGAATCATACAGCTATCAGTTAAAGAGTGGTATGGAAGAGCTAGCTGTTTAGTTAGTAAAGTTGCTTAAATATGTGTATATATGAATTAAATAATTAGTCAATCAATCAAACTTTACTTGTCCAACACGATGCCACCTAATATAGGACTGCTTTATTAACAAGAAATGAAGCTAAAATGTGTGAAGAAAAAAAAACCTGGCCGGTGGCGTCTGCAAGATGCCACTGGCGAGAAAATAATAACCACTGCTGTACTCGACGGATTCGACCAATAACCATCCCGAGAATCATAAAATTCTTTCGAAGAAGCAGCTACTTGTACATTCTTCTAGAAAATTTGATTAAATTTTTACGAACTTTTATGCACAACCAAGTTACAGTATTAGATCTGGAACGTTTTGCCAAATATTTTGGAAAAAACAAAATCGTAATTTGCTATTTGTTTCTTTGAATTTCTAAACTAATATAAAGTAAGTATATAGCAAATGCATTAGCAAGCATATATATAATGCATTAGCAAGCATGTATATTCAAAATTTATGATTTGCGAAATTATAATGTAAAAATAATATCTTTGGAAAGAGAAAATCCAAAATACAATTTAAACATCGAAGGTGATCAAATCTTGATAAATTAACAGCATCACACTACCATGCCACAAGTTTGAATCATACAAAATATTAAAAATATAAAACGTCTACAAGTTGAAATAACTCCATTAAAATAACCCCAATAACTGCATTTTTTATTTGCATAGCGTAATGCCTACATCTACATCTTATCACATCTTACCGACACAACTTCTATCACCTTTATCATTTTTAAAAGTGAATTATCCAGGATCACAAGGACATAGAAGTAATCACGCACTGAAATCAATTCAATCAAGCTTCACTATACTAAAACTTTTGCACTTTTATACAATTGAGGTTATTTCACGAAGACTTTCTGCATTTTATACAATTGACGTTATTTCAGAAAGATATGTTTTTTTATCGTAATGCAGTACATTAGCAAAGAAAAATTAATCATATTAGCACCTTCGAAAGATCATAAACAAATTGCTAAAAAATAGCAATTTTAAAAATTTTGCTAAATTTCCTATAATACTTGATGATTCACAAATTATGTTTGATCAAATTCTTATTTTAATGGCAATTATAATTCTGCACTTAAATAGTAGAACTATTGAAATCACAATGAATACCAAAACAAAAACTTCAAAGAAAAGAAACAAACACAAGTAAAAAAATCACCAAATCACTTGGCCCTGATATTCTGGTAGTACGCAAACTTTCTTCAAAGTTTCATAAACCATCATCGTTGCAGTCGTACATATACAGCTATTAATCATCCTTGGTAGAAGACCTTTTGTTATTATTCTATACCTCTCATCGGACCACATCCTTTTCATAGTAATTGGGTAAGATGTGCGTTGAACCTATTAAAAAGCAAATGAGTTCAATTGTTTAAATTAATATTTGAAATCTAAATCATGATGTTAATATTTCTATTCTTATAATGTACATTTTCATGAAATCGATTTCAAAAACCAAGTCTGGATAATGACTGTTGTCAAAGATTATCACAGAAATATGTGGGAACAAAAATGAGACTTGATTTCAGTATCAAGTCCTCATTTTTTTAAATTATAATAATTTAAAATCTTGAAACAATCCGAAATTGGCAATATAGCATAATATCTTTAAAATCCACGAACCTGTACACGTAATCGCAATATTTCCAGTGGATTTGTCAGCGTTGCTGCTACTATAGAAGAGGTCGCTGCAGCTACTCCCTGATCCAATAAAAGATAAGGATGTCCATCTTTGTCATACCCTAAAAAATTTTTTCTAATTCTTAATATTTAATATATGTAAGGTAACCACATAACGAAACCTAAACAATGTATGCTCACCAAGCAAATTATGAAGAAATTTCCTCCTACACCATCGAATGCCTTCCAGACATGTATAATATACTGTCCAAAATATTGATCCAACAGACATGCCCAATGCTGCTGAAGCTATATAACCTCTAGAAATATCAAAACAAAAATAATTAAAAATATCAAAAACCAGAATTAGAGCACATTTGAATCCAGTAGCGGAGACTTCTCAATTTCGAAGAAAACGGTGTTATGGTTTGATAATTTTTACAATCGGAAGAACGGTAAAAAAGATCTGAAAAAGATGTATCGGCCATTTCGTCTCAAAACTAACTGAATAACTTATCATGGCATGAAAGTGATCACAGTGCTTCAATACTTTTTTGTTGAATAGCATGACTGATCAAGTTGTTTTCAATGATAATGCAACTGGCAGCGTACTGACTTCCCAAAAGAAACTAAGAATGTGAACCATTTCTTTAACTTATTAAGTATCACTAGTTTTAATTAACAACATAGTAATGTTTATCTCAATTGGAATTTGTAAACAGAAGTACGATCAACCGTTAAAACACAATTAGTATCATGCCATTATAGGTTGTTCGGTCAGCTTTCTAATGAATGATTGATGTATCTCCTAAATCTTTTTAATAATCTTATAATACCTGAAAAAGCCACGATAACCATCAACATGATACAAGGCGCGGAAAATTTGAAAAGCATGTATTGATGACAATTTGGCTTTATTTTGATATACATAGTTCAAGACAGCGGCATGATGGGGCTCACCTGTAATCGTTATATGTAACTGCTATTACCAAAAAAAATTGACGACTCACTAACAGAATTCATACAAAAAGGTTAAATTTACAAAAAAAGATTAAAATAAAACTTTCATACAAGAAGACTAAAATAAAACTACTTTTATATAAAAACTACTTTCATATATCCTTTCATAAAAGGAAATACATCAATCTTTCATTAGGTTAACATGGATACGAAATGTGGGCTATGTACAGCAAACGATGTCATCGCTGTCAAACTGTACGCATAATCGCCACCCTAAGTAAGTAATTTTCTTAGTCTTTTGAATTGATGTGAAAACTTACCAATAAAGGCTGAAGGATTATTGTAAATAATCATATATTGCGAAGTAATATCTGTTGGAACAAATATGATTTGAGTTAAAAGCGACACAGTACTACCTTAAAATATATTTCGTATATAAAGACATTACAGCTCACTGTAATTCAAATATTTGGAATAACTGCTTTCGTAATTTGATGAGATTTTCCGTTTAGGTTTTGTGAGAAATAAATTCAATTAATTTAATATACAAAAAATTAGTCGCTTACACTTAACTACTAAGTGGTTTAAATAAAATGGTCTATGACCGATTCTAATATCCAGTTCAGCCAAAACTGTATAAAACACTATATACCATATAAAACATTGCTTGGATGACCAAATAATCTTGAAAGTAATTTCCTGTAAATAATCACCTGTTATCCTGTTCAGAAACGAACTTACCGGCTAAGGGAGAAACTAATTTGTCGGACGATAAACCCAGATGAAACTTCAAAGATTCACGCGTTTTCTCGTAAGCATTGCAGTATATCAATGGTGCAACATTTTGAGGAACAGTCATCAAGAAACCCTTAAATTAGAAAAAAAAACTGTTATGAGAATATTATAAAATAGCAAAAATAATAATTCTCAACTAATAAAAACTGAAAATTAAACACGTTTCGCACATCTAAAACAGTGAGACAAATATGCAAAAGACTATAATGGTCTCAAGTGTGATGCCATAGAAGACTACACAATATCTGGGGCATCCGATACAGTGAATTAGATGAAAAACACGATTATATTTACACTTCTCCAAATGCACGCCGTAATGGATCATGCAGTGGAACTGTAAAAGGGTCGCAAGTCATCATTTCGTTTAATTTATCCGCAAATTAAGCGAAACAAATGATTAGGTAAACTGCAAGGGAAAAGAAATGTTGGTTGAATAGAATCAAAAGAAACATACCCTATACAAACCACGTAAACCTTCATTTCGAATAATATGTACTAACGCATGTCGCACTCCTTTGTAAACTGTATTTTGTTTTTGAAGTTGCAAGCGCGATTTGACAAAATTAAATGGATATGTCAAGAATCGTATACTGCATGATGACGTGAAGATATATGTTGATAAGCTATATTTATCTAAATGCCTCCATTCGATTACTTGTAACTGAAAATTTTGAAAAATAATTAAAGATACTTTTAATCATTGTCAATACTAACAAAAGAGTTAATTCCATCAATAAAAAAAAATTCTCCTACAGCGATAATACTTAATTTCATGCTAACACAACTCACATTTTATCCACTTTTATTAACAAATAAGGGAGGATTCAGGATCCATGAAATATGAAGTATCATTCCAAAATGGTGTATGATTCCCCTAAATGACAACTCATGCTGGCCAGAGACGGTCTAAACCATCAGCAGGTCAACCATTCGGAAAAACGAAGTAAACGCAACAATTCCGAAGGTTTTAAACCGTTGTTTACACTCCGGTTGGCTAAAATGCAGTTGAGTTCGACGTTACAATTATCCCTATCTCAAAAATCAACAGCACTTAGGTACCGAGAAATACTAATTATTAACTTCATTTCCAAATTCAGGTGATATTTCCGACAAAAAGACATTATACCTCACAGTCGGATTGCGCAGTTCGATCCATAAAAAAATTTAAAGTGCTCAAAATAGCACACGAACAATAACGAAATGAAAACCGCACTGCAAAAATATCAAAATAACAATGGCCAAGATTCCGATGTTGTTACGATCTATGAACGTTTACATTGTCCACTGACACGGCCATCAGCATATTACATTACGTTTAAGTGTAACTGAAGAAATTACTCATTTGTAATATAACGACATATTTCTATCCTTTGGAACGAATTGAAATATAGCCTAGGACCTATCTTCCAACAGACACATTGATAGAGATGATTTTGTTTATCTTATAAATTTACCTCTCGCTGTTTAATAGGAAAGAATACTTTCCAATTTCTATTTACTAATTTAACAATTAAGCAAAAATCTGCGGCAGCTATGAAATTGAAAGAAAATGTAATAGGACATGGAAAACGAAAATGCCGAATATGTAAATAACAAATTCAAATTACCAATTTCTTTAACTAATTGATAGAAATATCACATATAAAGGGTTACATCATGGTAATCGAACAGGAAAAAGTAAAAAAGACGTAAATGATTAAAAAATATTTCCAAAAATATTTTATTTCTCACTAGATTTAAATCAACAAACAAGCGATCAATTTAACTACTTTCTTGGAAGAATAACAAATAGTTGTATTCATTCACCAAGTTTTAGTAAACGAATTCACTTTGTTTTCGCAAAATTTTCTCCTATTTATTATAATCGCAATGACTCATTGCAAAAGATCTGATTCCAAAAAAAATAGGGTAATAAAATATAGCAAAGAAATTAAGCATAATAATACAACGAAGCTTTCTTCTTCGCTTGAACTTCCAGAATAGCATCCATAAAATCTTCATGCATCACTTCAACAGCATCACGTCGCAAAGCAATCATTCCCTATAATACTAGTATTTCTATAAGCAATCAAAAAAAGAAATTTATAAAAATAAAGCTTACTTTGAAAGAAAGATCCTGAAAATGGAACGGAATCTTTTGATCTTATCACATCACTTAAATCTTCGCAACATTTCAGGTCAAAGGGTAGTCAAAGGGGGTGCATTATCGCTTAAAGAACTCTTTAATCAGGGTCATTGGATCAAAATTTATATACATATCTAACTTCTTTTATATCCGAAACATTACCCTCTTAAATAACATTAATCGAGAAATGAAAAAGAAATGTACATCCATACTGATAGCACTATGTATTATTTGCACATATTGATACTACTATGTATTGTTTGCATACCGCAAATTTTGAAATCAAAATAAATCAATATCACAGCACTGCACTATCTTTGTTTCGTTTGCTATTAATTACGAAAACATACCGCTTCAACGCAAACTGCCTTACACTGTGCTCCATTAAAATCATCCGTACACCGCCCCAATTCTTCAAAATTAACATCTTTACTGAAAAGGATAGTATTGTAAAATTTTTCCTTTAACGAAACTGAACCCTTATTAGCCACTGACCCTAAAATAGCTAATAAGTCTACAGATATCATTTCACAAAAATATTACGTTCACTTATCTGGAAACTCAATTTATTCATATGCACAGAGGTTGATGGAAAGTTGAACTTCAATCAAGCTGATTTGAATCAATTGTATCACGGAATATCACAGCTTCTCAAATCAATAACTAATGATCTTCACTTAGGTTTTTGATCAAAACGTTACAAATTGTATATATATGTATATACATAACGTTACAATTTTTTTCGATGTACATATAAGGTCATAAATTTTTAATCTGCATGTTTAGTCATTTATTAGTAACACCCATTCCTAACTTAGCTAAGAAAATATCGATTTTTTTGTGTCACACGTAAACAAGCCATCATCCTCATACTCCTTTTCCGATCGAATAACAGATTCAATCGCCAGTGAATCACAAAAAAGTCTATTTTATTGTATGTCTATACAAATTTGACCGTATGTGAAAAAACTGATAAACTGTGAAAACCTAAAATAAGTCCACAAACAAAATCAGTACCAATTAAAAACTACTTACTGGACATTCATTTTACGTGAATGAATTTGCATTATACGGGCACGAGCATCCTCAGTTGGATTCGGAAGTTCAATTTTACGGTCCAAACGACCGCTTCGTAAAAGAGCCGGATCCAAAACATCGACTCGATTCGTTGCAGCAATCACCTAAACAAGAAAATTGCCAGATTTCAGTTTCTAAAAACCGCCTTTTTTATGTTTTTACCTTTATATTATCATTAGGTTGAAAACCATCTAGCTGATTTAGTAGTTCCAGCATTGTACGCTGAACTTCACGATCGCCAGCTTTTTCAGAATCAAAACGTTTCGTCCCTAAAATAGCAATGTGTTAGAGTAAAACATATACAATACATTTGGACAATATATATATATATATATATATATATAATGGATTGTGGATACAGCAAGCGCGAATTTTCTTTTTCTACTTCACACAAAGCTAAAAGATTAAATATTCGATCTTACGGTTACTACGACTACTAAAAATATCTTCATATTTTACGTCTATTTCAATCTTATATAAAGTGATTGTATGAGTTGGATAAGCAAATTTAAGAAGTATAGAAACGTGAGAAAATTTCACAGTATATATTGAACATATTGGAGATATATTTCCGATTAAATTCAGCAATATGATGTAATAAAATGTGGATACGAAAAGTCTCATCATCGCAACAAAAAGGATATTTTCTAAGATTTAGTAAACTTATTCTTTTAACATAATTAAATGTTTTAACAAATGCTTACCAACAGCATCCAATTCATCAATAAAAATAATAGCGGGAGCCTTTTCCTTCGCCAAAGCAAACGCATCACGGACAAGTTTTGCTCCATCACCAATGAACATTTGAACTAACTGAGGTCCTGCTAGTTTCAGAAACGTTGATTTTGTTTGTGCTGCTACGGCACGTGCCATCATTGTTTTACCGGTACCTAAAATTACAAGAAAAGCAGAAACTAGTTCATGGAAAATTACATAATAAAGCAACTTCCATTCAAATTTCTGTATACTCCTACATTTCACTTCGAGCAAGTAACCAAGATACAATCCAGATTGATTGAATCAAGCAAGACTGCAATGATTTAATGATGTGCCATTATAACAGGAAGAAGGTAAAAAGTTAATAAAATTTTTACCTGGTGGACCATAAAGCAAAACACCCTTTGGCGGATGTATCCCAAGATTCAAAAATCGATCCTTATGTGTCATTGGCAAAACCACCGCTTCAATCAATTCCTGGATTTGTTTATCACAACCACCAATATCACTATATTGTTCGTTTGGTCTTTCATCAACTTCCATAGCTTTTACTCTCGAATCATATTCTGCGGGTAACTTCTCCAGAACCAAATAGGAGTCCTGCAACCCCAATAAACAATCCAAGAATTAAAAAGAAATGTTGAAAAATACCATTTTGTAACCAAATAACCATTTTTTTGATGATTAACCAAACCATTTTGATGATACTTATCTGAAAAAATTCAAATATCAAAGCCTTTTGAAAAAAATTCATTAACGAACTTTATTTACTCCAACGAGATCACCAGGCTTCAATTCTGATGGATCTACTAAGCCAACAACTGGAAGAAAATATGTTGCACGGGTAGACGTTTTGATCACAGCACATTTCGTTTTATGCGCATCCAAATCGACGTTTGCACCCTCGTCTTCCTGTAGCTCTTCCAAAAGTAGCAATTCAACTACATTTGATACCAAATACGGCAATGTTTTGTTCACCTGGAAACAATAAATATGAAGCGAAATTTTTGAAATTTCAATGTTTAAATTGTAGTTTAAATGACGTTATGTTCCAGCGCGGCAGAAAGAATAGCATGCCCACCTTAATACGTTCAGTATTTTCTTTGACATGAGATGTTAACGTATCTATCGCATGACTGATCCGTTGTATTTCCGAGCGCATGATACGAATTTCGTTTTCCACTAAGTGCGTCCTACTCTTCAGATCGTCTGCTGACATTCTTAAAATCTCCTCATCCAAAGGTTCCTATAATGATTAGCTTATCGATTTTTCAGTTTTATCGATTACTCCTCATCTTATTCTCTCCAAATAATTATGTAATTTATGAGTGCATTAAGTCTTTGCGATCCAACACACAACAAAAGGAATTATTCAGGTCTTGCCTGCAATGAAGAGGAAATTATTACATTTGGATGCTTAACAGTGGCAAGAATAGAATACTGGACTAAATAAAATGCAACGGGAATAAAATACATTACATATAGTAAATTATAGCAGCCAACTTTCTACCAAACTAATTCTTGACGTTTAAGCCAACTTTTGTATATCGAATGTAAAAAGAAGTAAGTGAAACTGAGTTCTTATTTCCTTTATACTCTATAGAACTAAATCTCAAATGCAATAAGAAACAACATTTACACACTCATCATATGTCAACTGAAGCTAAAGCGCAGCTACTAAAGTCAAGAACAAATAAAAGTTCGAATGTATATAAGTAAATCCTAAATAAATAAAACTTGAGAATGGATAAAATGAGACATTTTATTTAACGTTGGAGAAGTGATAATTTGAACTTACATCTTCAACTTCCATTTGTTCTTCCTTTTTCTCGACTACATCACTACCCGCTTTTGATGTTTGTTGTTCGCCTTGAGTGGAAGACATTTTGTTCAATCTAGAAACACAAAATTAAAATGGCGAAATATCATCATAACGTAATGGTAAAATCTTTATTCACCAGAAATTAGTAGCAAATTAATTCCACAAGCTTTTCCTCATATAGTACTTAACCAGTTACATATAACTTGCCACATTACATCAAATTCCGCATGATATATTAAATTACATTAAACGCGAATGAATTGGATTAACTAGTTGATCAATTAATATAGCGCTAATTATCATAATTAATATAACACAAAGAACCACACATACAAGATAACATGTCGCACACACAAATAACATAACTACGATCGCCACCATATATTATTCCGCTCGCCATATTCCCAATTTTGTACGAATGCACAAAATAGCGTAGCTGTTGTGGAACACGGTGACTTTCAGTTTTTGGACAACATTTACGACTAAATAATTTGGATTGTTGGTCAGGATTGAGAGGTGTGATAGGATGATTGAAATTCGGTGTTGAGATTGAATAATTAAGACAAAAAACTCATTAGAATTGGATAAATCAAGCTTAAAGACTGAATAATTTGGAACGGTTTGAATTGGGAAACAGAGTATGAATAACTCATTTTAATTAACTTATCAGCAGAAATGAATAATGTCACTTGACTATCTAAATGGAATCTAATTTTAGATTAAAATAGTCTAAACAGTTTTTGTGTTTTGATATCAACAAAACCCTTCCTATATAAATTGTTCATTTCTAATAATCGGCTGTATTTGAAGTGAACATTCAATTCAATCGTTAGAACCTAAAAATTCGAACTAACCGTTGAATGAAATTGATTTAAACTATTCACTTAAACAAAATTTATCATATTAATGAAAAAAAGTTTTTGTTTTGATATCAACAAAACCCTTCCTATATGATAACAAATAAATTCAATGGAAGATTTACCACGAGATTCGAAGATTAATTTCACAAATGGGCAACTTATTACAGTAAAACCCGGGCAATTATAATCTAACTCGAAAAGGATTTATTTAAAAACAATAAATAAATAACAATTTAATAAAATTGTGTAATATTTTTATAACTGTAAAATTTTGTTACTATTGCAAATAGCGGAAGTTTGTAGTGCGAATTATACTGTTGAAACTTAATGATTCAAAAAATAAATTTCAAATATTTAATTGTTTTTGAATTTAGTGATTCAAAAATAATTAAATGAAAAGGAATTTAATTTGTAGGGAGATGATTTCGGTTATCAGAAAAGTTTCAATAGTAATGTATAAATGGAAGTATTTCTGATTACAATCTAATGACCATACGAAAGATGGAACCACTTAAACTTTAATTTGAAATTATTGAACGAATAAAATTGTTGAATCAATCAATTTATGAAAGATCAAAGACAATGGAGAAAATCGAAAAGATTTATAGATAGTATGACGTTATCTGTTTGCTAATTAATCTTTTCATATCATATAATTAATTTTTTCCTGCTTGGTTTATAAACAAACAATGAAAATTTAGCTTATTTATTTAATTTGCTTGTGATCATTTATTTTACAGTTAGATGCTTATAAGTTAAAGGTATAAAGGATGGATAGTCTACAACAAAAAAATGCAAATTTAGAAGGGTAAAACGTTACAGGAGAAAAGGGTTTCACTCAGGAATTCCGATTGGTGTAATGTTACACATTCCGTGCGATGTGCGATGCATTTTCCGATTTCTAAATGTTGAATATTTTCTAAATGTTGAATGTATGTTGATTTCCGGTATAGGATACCTTTTTCGTGTATTTTGGAGCTTATTGTTTTTTTTTAATATTTCAATTTTTGAAATGTTGAAGATGAAGCAGAGCATGAAAGAAAAATGCCATTGGAAAAATTAGTATGTCAAAGGTCAAGATGAGCGGTAAATGGAAATGAGATTGAGATTTGTGGTTGATTTATTGTTTATATAAGAAGCATTGGCAATAGTCGAGGTTTGTTAATCCGGTGAAATTATCAGAGATTTTTCTTATCACAAATACATAGATTAATATATAGATATTTAATTCCTGAAAGGTAAGGTTCGTTACTTTGTTCGAATTATTCCTAACCTTTCATCTCTAATTTTTTAATAAATTTCAAATTCTTCTATGGAACTAATCATTTCATCAATTATTACTTATTTTACTTATTAAAAAAATATATAATAGTTCTTTTAATTTAAATAAAACGTTGTTGTTATTGGAAACTTTAATGAAGAAATTTATTTATTAATATTTAAGAATTTGTTCACTCTTTTCTTAAATTATGAAATTATATTGATATCGTTATTGATATTACTATAAATCATATTGATATTGATATCGTATTGAATTGATATGACAGCTAACAAAATGCTAAACTATGCTAATGATAAATCTTAGCAAAAAGAAAATTAGATAAGTTAAAGTTAAAGAAAAACTATCGTAACTTAATAAATTTGCTTCTTATTTTCTCAGCTTATTGATAATATTTCAATTGTTTTCGCTTTTTAAATTTCAAACATTCTATGCTAAATTTTATTGGCAATGAATGTAATTTCATTTTAGGATGGCTAAAGAATGGGCCAGAGATGACCAATTTAAGGTATGGGCAAAGGAGAAAAGAATTATAATAGTACCCGAAAGAGGACTGGTGTGGAGAATCAAAAATTCAAAACGAATGAGTGAGGATGCAAATCGATATATCGGTCATGCTGGTCATATGGTATTTGTGAAGCGCAGGGAAGCATTAACTATATTACGTCCAGTTGTACTGGAAATTTTGTTCCGTGAGAATCCATTGGGTCAATTGGTTGCTGCTTTGAGAGAAACGAACACACGAACGGTAAATATTGATACGGAAAAACAATTGAAAATAAAAATTTATTGAATATTAATGCAAATATATATTCCAATATATATTTTGGATACATTTTGAAAGTTTATAAAATAATATGTCGTATGGAAATTTCTCTATAGGATCACAATTTTCATCTGTTAATTGGTATAGGACAAATTTTCCTGCTTTGGATTAAAATTTTATTTTGTATTTTTTCTTATATTTTAGGTTCGGGAATTTCTTTCCAATTTACGCTTTCTTCTTGTAAGTGAATCGGATGCGGAAATTCCGGATATAACATTTTTATTATCACATTCATGTTTGTTGACAGCATTTTCCTACAGGAGTCAACAGATAGGTATTAGCGATGAAGATTTTGAAGGCTTTTTCCCAGCGCTATCAAATGCACAGGTTTTTTTCATCACGAAACAAGATAGATCAATTATCGCTAAGTTGATTAATGAAGTAAAAGAATTTGATAAAAACAACACAGCCAACTTATCACTTGATAAATTATTCCCAGTATTTTGTTCAATGAATGAAAATTCTTATTCAATTTTATCTTTTTGTGGCTTATTTGAAGTTTTTTGGAAATATCTTCCGCCTGCCATTTATATGAATGATTCAATCAATGCTTCGATGTGATAAGATCATGAAATGGAATTTTGTCCAGATCATCGATATAATACAATCATTGATAAAATTTAATCGGGAGAGTGATATGACTTTTCTTCGGAAGGTTTATGATAAGGTTAATTGCACGTCATATCGCATTGAGTTCTGTTATTATAATACAATTAAAAAAATATGGATAAAATTACTTCAATTAGAAAAATTATAAAAGTTTTTTCTTTGTTGTATTTTAGATTCGCTTAATTGATTTAAATGGAAGTTGTCCAAAGAAGGAAATTGAATTGATTATTAAAAATTTGAATATAGGATTGGTTCGATTTCACAGATATCCCGGTATAAATGTTAGTTTTATTTATGCATAAGTATACACACATGTTTGTATGTATAACTCTCGGTCTTTTTATCTAGAAATTTCCCGAAGAAAAATTTTTTCAAAAATTAAGTTTTTGAAAATTATCATCAAAATCTTATGTAAAGTTCAAACGAACAAATATTATCCCCTATTATGTAGTTATTTCACCTTTATATTATGAATATATCAATAAATTAAATTTATCGAACAATTTGTGTTTTCCAATTAATCAAAAGGAAAATTAATGAAATGAGTGTGGAGTGATTATAGTTGTTGTGAAAGATATCATATCATATCAGAAGAAGAAGGTAAACAACCTTCTGATTCATTTCAATTAGATTACATTTTTTTTTCAGGTAGAAACGTTTGAGAATACCAAAGTAATGAATTCAGCAGTTGAATTTATTGTTGCACAAGGTGTACATCCTGGTACTGAAAATAGTGGAATGAGATTTTTGAAACATTTAAAGAATGTTTTCCCAGCTATGAAAAATATTTTCTGGGATTGGAGTGCAATGATGCCAGCCATAACGCAAGTAAATGCTGGCGTCATTGATTGTCTAAATGAATTATTACGATTATATAAGTATGTTAATTGTTAGCAAATTACGAACAATTGTTAATATTTTAATTTTAAATTTAAAAATTTATTTTCTTGAAAGAATCCTACATTAGGTATGAAATGATATGATAATCTTTGATATATCAATGTTATAACAGATTGATCTTAGTAATCTATCAAGCTATTAATTTGATAATAGTTTAAATTTATTTTCTTAATAATAGTTTATCAAGTCATTATCATTAATAATCTTCAAGTTATTAATTAATTAAATCGTAATTTTTATTAATTAATTGAATCGTTAAATCGTTATTAATCGTTATTAATAATTGAATCGTTAATCGTTATTAATTAAATGAATCGCAATTTCATCATGATTTGCCAGAATTACACAGTGAATAGGTAATTGTTAATCACAGTTAATAACGCATATCTATTTAATGATAATAGTATGAGTGATAAGTACCATGTTCATTTATTCCATCCATTGATTGGGCCATTTATGAGTTTCTAATCATTCTATACTCATTTCAATTTGCTTGATATTTTTGTGATACATTTTATTAGGAATGATTTCACTCTTTATTTTAAATCTTTATATGTCATTTAAAAAAACCAAAAAATTAGCCAAATTAATTAAGGATTGAAAAATTGTGAGAAAATGAAATTAAATTCAAAAATAAGGAATAAAGTGAAAAAATGAATTTAGAGAAATGGAAATGAATTTATTATCAATTCTGTTCTTTATGTCAAGTGAAGGAAGTGAAGAAATAATGAAAGAAATTTGGGAACATTTGAAAACATTTAATTTACCAAATGCTAAAATGAGGAAAGTAATGCGAGATGACAAGCCATATTATTATCCACCATATATGTTCTTCATGGCTGGTATGATATTATTTGTGCTATTTAGAAAAAGATGATTTAAAAAAAGGATGAGGAAAATATTTGATAGTAAGAAAATATCCTGATGAATAAGGCAATTTTACGTTTTCGTAGATGAGGGTTAATAATTAAAATTTTGCTTTCAAGATTTATAATCTTTCTAATTTGTTTCTAATCTTTTTACAACTCATTTTAATATATTTAGCACTTTCTGAATTACCAACTTATTATTCATTTCTTTCTTTCCCTCTCTCTCTCATTGATATGAATGAAATATTTATTACTTATAAATGAGATTTTATATTTTTATCACTTGCAATATATCAACTAAACATATGGAGAAATCATTTCTCATTTCAGGAACATCCGATAAAATCAACCGATTGGAAAAGGTTGTTTGTGAGGATCGAATTGTTGAACCTGACCTACGACATTTCATTTATGTTCAAAATCGATCGATAAACATTTACAAAAATGATAATGTCTATGAATTTATGGGATTTGATTATGGATGTGATGAATGAATGTATGTACATATTATGTTATAATGAATGTTTTCTTCTTTATTCTTATTATTGCCTTTACGAAGTGATAATAGAATTTCACAAATGTATTTTTATGAGAATGGATGCCATGCACTAAATGATTCAAATTTTGGTTAATGTTTCTTCACCTGATAGGATGCATAAAAACAAATTTTATGTTCTCTATATCATTGTATACAAATGCAAATTGTATACAATGAATCATTATTATGTTATACTGTATCTCCATATTGTTTGATGTCAATACTGTTGTTGATTTAGAAAAATATACGATAGTATATCCTGAAAAGATGAAGAGATAGCGAATTTGATTAGAAAGAATAAAAGATCAAACGAATTGAATGATCATTTATAGTGTACAAGAATTACTGTCCAAAAAGATGGTGTTCTCCTGAAAAAAAGTATAATTTTATTCCTGTTAATGATACAAAATCTTTCCAAAAAAACGAGTTTGACGAATCGCGATGATGAGTTATTGACTGATTCTCCCTACTTGTGTTTTTAGATATATATATATATTTTCAAATTTCAATTTTCATAGTAGCAATTAAAAATCGAAAAATACAGAATGATATTATGAGTCTGGAAGTACTATTTGGTATATATTCGAACAAGAATGTACAATAAAATTACAAAGATATTCAAGGAATATGTCAAAGAGTAGAAACATAGCTTCACAAAAAACAGAAAAAATAGCGAGAAAATAAAAATAGCAGTGCAAAATTGATCTAATACAGCACCGATACTTGAAATAGCAAACAGGAAAAGGTTTTAAAGGCTGAGGAATTTTGGAAAATCAAGAGAAGTCGCAATTCTAAAGAGTGATACATTATAATATGCATGCTTTTCATCAAAACTTGATCGATTATACTAAATTAACGATATTATTAGCCTTTTTCTATTCATGATAGAAATTAATCATATTCTTCTGTTGATATTACCTAGCCCTTACCACTTCTCTCTATGATGTGTTTATTCAGTTTATGACTATATAGCAAAAAAATTTTACACGTGATACAATTTTTATCACATCATCAGTGATTAATTTATATAAGGCACATTCAAATGTCAGGAAGAGAGTCCTCAAATCTGAATTTGAATAATATTTTTTTAAATAGGAAAGAAAGCCTACTGTCAACAATGACGAGCTGATGTCCAAAATCTTCTTTGTAGTCTCAAATAATTAAATTCATGAATGACCATTTCGCGTAATTCAACAAAATGTGTCAATTAGTTTTGTTCGAACAACTTAAGTCCCATCTGCCTGATTTTTCTTATTCAATTTATGCAATTCTTATTACCAAACACTACACATAAAAATCATATAATATGGAAAACAGAGATCAATACCAATATGTTGGCTGTAATTTACGTTTATCTTGAATACCCATTGCGTCCGCAATTTCTTCCTCAAATGACTTGAGTACAGGTTTGTAGGTCTTTTCCAGAACAACTTCTGCAGGTGTATCCTTACCCTCCACTTCTGCAATAGAGGAGGAAAATTATGAAGTAAAAGAAGAGATGTAATAAACTAATTAGCGAATAATTTTTCATTCTGATTTTAGCGATTACCAAGCGCCTGGAAGTCATCTGATAAACTTACACAAAGTTTGGAATCCTCTGAAAACTTTGTACTATCGCTTTTCGATGAGAATATGCAGATTCTATCTTCATATGATGATGGAGCTAACAGATAAAAACCAAATTGTCTACGGGTCAGCGGAAAAATTATGAGGACCCGATGTCATCTTTTTGGATATTTCCAATCATACCGAAAACTAAACCAACATACCAACATATCGATCAGGAGTGATGTATTCCGAAGTAGCTCGAGCTAATTCTGGTACCGGAATTTCGAATTTGGATCTCTTGCTCATTCTAACATACTCATTCTTTTCCTCATTCAACACCCAGTCTGCTTCGCAAGGTTCACTGAAATGAAAAAAGGCTGCATCGTATAGTCAGTAAAATAAGGCAAACAGCCCACGATATTAATCATCTGACCACTGGGTGAACTGAACAAAGCAGTAAATACTGTTTTTTTTTTCTAAGAACGCATGCATGGATGTTTCTAGCTTGCAATAACGTCAAGACCAAGAAGAATACTGCAATGAATAACAATACAGAGAAATAGTTCCCGATTAAACAGAAATGAAATATCACACAATTTCCTTCTGATTAAAAAACAATTAAACTGAAGTAATAAGTTTTAAACAATAACAAGCATACTTATCGCTAGGATCGACCAACTTCACTTGTCCCTTATGAACATATAGAGGTTGCTCAATTTGTCGATAAAAAGAATTTATGCCACTTTCACCGAAATTTTCGTAATCGTTTACAAGCTTCTGCAAAAACTTTATATTCAAAGAACGGAAATCGCCATACTATGAGAAGCAAAGAAAGGTGAATTTAACAGCCGTAAGTAAAACAAATTAACGATAACAAACAATTATTTCATCTAATACATTATCGATTGATTAGTGATTAAAATATCAATCAAAGCTTACAGTATGTCTCCCTCTTACAAATACAGCATTGGTTTCCTTGTTAACACGTGATACAACCCCCGTTTTGCCTTTGTCCTTACCGACCATCACCTGCACCAAATCACCCGGAAATATTGTCCATTCTTCGGGTGGAATGGCTACCTTTTTCTCGTGTCTTAAAATATTGTCAATTATCATTGAGAAAACAGAATTTTAAGGAAAAAGCCATCAAATCTAACGTCGGTAGTCCCACATTTTTTCCCTTTTTCGATCTAAATAACGAAGGGCTTTGGTCCAGCTTATTATTCCATAAGATAGCGCAACGGTTGAAACTCTTAAGCAAACCCATAGCGCAATATGCGCAATGGGTTTGCTTAAGGGTCTCAACATCCAAACGTCATAAATTATAAATGTATAATAGCTGTTCGTTATATAAATTATAAACGTATAATGGAGACAGATCACAATGTTAGCCATTTAATCAATCATTTTATTCCATTCATTTGTTAGAACCACTACTAGAAAATATCTTATGGACATTATTCAAATCAAAAATGAAAAATCCCAACACCTTCAATTCCTGTTTTTTTGTTCACAAGAAAAATGAAAAGAAATTTACCTTAACTCAAAGAATTTGCGGCTTAATTTATGCTGATGATAATCATGTGCTCGTTGTGCGTTTTTTTCAAATATATCTAATTCCCAAGGGCGTCCATCGGATGGTACATAATCATCGGGATGCAATCTGAAAGCACCTTCAATTTAGGAAATATTTGTAGTTAATTTCGGAAAAAAAAAAAATTTTATTAGAGGTATAAACTTTACTATTCTATCGGTATAAGCTTCATTAGAATCCAAATACGAAAACGAAAACTAAGTGCTTGTATTTGACATACTTAAAGTAACTACATTATTCTTAAGATATTACCAGATCTACATGCAAAAGAAAACCTTACGTCCAACGGACAATATCAGGTGCACCGTATCGATTGGTATAAACTTTTTTTGGAACAGTGCGCTTCACTTTTTCCACGTATTCTTTTGGCATGTGCCTGGCATAGTCTAATTCCATGTACGTCCGACGTACGCTGCGTGATAATACGCGAGTTGGCCACATTAATGTTAGCTGAATGTAAGATTTGATACTATAAACATTATTCAGATAGACATTACAATAATTATTCGTAATTCATATTAATAACACCTTAAAGATTACATCTTAAACCAACGAATTACGACAAACAAATTATGAAGGAACCATGATAAAAGTACAGATTCGCGAAAAAACCAAAATCAACTGATGAGTCCCAACAGCTGAAGGAAAAAAGATGAGTGAGATTTAATCAGATCAAGACCGTAAAACGGCTTTCGCACATGTTTTCGCCCGTAAATACCGGGAGAGGACGACCTGTTATGCTTTTCGATGTCACTATGCTACTCCGTTAAAATTTCCGAGATGTTGCTGTGTTTTTATTCTAAAAGATTGTAGTATTTTTTTCATTTTGAAAGAATGTAATATTTTGTTTCGATTGTATGAATCGTTAATTCAATATAATTCAAAAGAAAAAGAATTAATATATTTTACAATTCGAATAATTAAAAGAGCGTTGATTTCTTTAGTTGTTGCTAAAACAATTAGAAAAGTGATGTGATACTTCATTAGCCATTGATATCGTTATTGTTTTAAAATTAGATTTAAAATTTCGAAATTTCATATTCTAGAATCAATCCTATAAAATTTTATGCTTTCTTATAGAGCATTTACCAACAGAAATTCATCTCCTGCTGAAAGTTTGCTTTGTAGTGGTCAATGGACTGTCACACTGACTACTACAAATATAACCATTTCATCTTTATAGCGAATCCAAAATAAATCTCATCCGAAAATTTCACAGATTTCAAAAGAAGCTTACTTTCGAGACGAAAGCCTGCACGGAATAAGGATGAATGGTTATGGAGGATGGGAAGAGCGTTTTCGTTGGTTGATGCAATGAGTTTTAGGTTGAGTATAGGTTACGCGAGTTTGTTCTATAGGTTACGAGAGTTTGTTCCTATTCGGCCGTTTCATTTTCAGTTGGTGCTACGGCGAGAAAATTGGGCAGCATTTGTATGGTGGGTTTGTTATTCCGATACGAGTTATCTCCCTCTCCTCTTTCGCTTCTCCGTATTTGTAATATTCCGAAAAGCTGATATATTATCCGGTCTTTTCATTTAGAAGGTCTCACGACCGGGCATAGCGACATCTTCAGGTAATCTCATAGACATATTGTTTCATTGCGTCATCATATGGTGACGTCATCGCGACTAGATGTCCACTAGTGCGTAAGAGAAGAGGGGAGAGAAGTGAAGGGTTGAAAATTGATTATTGAACCGGCAAGCGACCCTTACTCGAACTCCAATTTCATTTCATTTCATTCTTCAGACATTTCTTCAGTAATGCATTCCGGAATGTTCTTGTGCTTTTTCCGTCCTTTGAAAAACTTTGTCGAAACTCTCTTCTGATTTCCGGTTTTTTTTTTCATTTGGTTTAGAAATTCCTCTTTTATTTTTATTAAGTGTTTTAATTATTTCCTTTAAATACCTTTTCTTCACAAAACTTCCCCTTTTATTTCTCCTCAATTTTTTTTGCAGTTTTCGTGAAGAGGTCCTCTTATTTCTCTAAGTCATCCACGCCTATCCCTCCGGAGCAAAATTTTTTTTGAAACTTTTTCGTTTATTGCTCTACTCCAATGAAGTCTTTATCTTTGACACTGGATTGGAGAAAGATGGGATTTCCGGTGATAGCAAATATTCTGCAAATTTTCGTATTTTATTACCGAAGCTAACATTAGCTCTTTATTTTCCATACTTATGTTTCACAGTTCAATAGGATGGCTGGAAGTTGCCGATATTTCTGTTGGTTTATAAATTTCCATCAAAATCTGTTCAGAAATTTAAACGACTTTTCCCATTGTTTGAAGATTTAATGTCATAAGCTAGAAATAGGCAGTATCTCTTCGACTTTCGCGGTATCACTTGGAGTAATCAATTCACGATTGGAATGTTATATACTCGCACTTTTAGTCCAGAATTGAGGGCCGCAGTGTTATCAACTTCGCTAGTATTATGGTAATATCACGTCTTAGATTATTCGATGATAAATAATAGTTACCGTTGGGTGACAAGATTCATATATTGCGCGCGCATTTTTGCATACCTCTTCACTTGCACTTCTGAAAACGATATAATGCATACTCGTTCTCAGTACATTTTCACTGTTTTAAGCTAGCATATTGGTATCACCCTGCTATGATGCTATACCTTTCGGTTTTGTTTCTTGATGCGAACTTTCCGTTCTGACAAAAATTTCGCTCATGTCCTCCAGCCGTTTGCATTTTTGCAGTACATCATAGCATATAGCATATTGTATAATTACATTTGAAATATAGACAAGTATGTTGACATGATCGCATACTGAACAACTGACAGTATATCCCATCAACGAGGAGTTGACTCCAAACTCTTGTCAAGCCATTTTTTTGATCGTTAATTTAAGCGATAGTTAGAACTACCCCAACTTCAGTCTTCACCATCAGATTAAGGTTTTTTTAGAATTTACTGGAATATTTATGAAGCGGTAAAGTTCCGAAGTTTTGTTACGCTCTTTTTTAATCAACTATCTTCTGTCTCTGTCGTGAAAGTTAATGTCAAAACGTATCTTGACACCTTAAGCTTGTAATTTACAATCCTTCCCAATGAAATGCCAATTTTCCTGTATTTTTTTTTGCTAGTTTAATTTCAAGACTCTTTTTTTCCATTTTTTCAAATCTGAAATTATGAACACATGTGTTGAAATGTAGTGTTACAATTCCTTGGTATCATAAGTTTACTTTCCTACGTACCGATTATTTTGTTCTAATTATATCTCTCTAATAAATTATAATATTTCGATAAATATGTAAGATACTTGCGTAACACTGTTCGATATGATTTTCTTGTCCATTTTGTTGCAGTTCAATGATTTTTTATATCCTAAATTTGCGTCTGTCATTGTTCTCTGCTATTTGTGATCTATTTCAAGACATAATTTTCGCATACAATAGATTATCTATCCATTATTGCTATTAAACATGTCATTTTTACATCCTACCAGATGTTTGGAAGGAGTGTTGGTGTCTGTTTTAATCCTAAAGATAGGATTCAAGAAGTGAGTAATGTTCCTCATTCCAACTTATTGCTGATGTTGTGACGACTTTTCACTTCTCGTAAATCTTTTGTATAAAGAAAATCTTAAAATTACTTAGTAACATTTCATATTTCAGTGCTGGAAGCGGCCGAACACATTGCTTTAGTGTAACATGGCACTTAAGCGAATCCAGAAAGAGCTTCAGGATTTAGGCCGTGATCCACCGGCACAATGCAGCGCAGGTCCTGTTGGCGACGACTTGTTTCATTGGCAGGCAACAATAATGGGTCCGCCGGAATCACCCTACCAAGGTACATCAATTTTAGACTTACATGACACATAAGGTGTATTTTGTCAAATTTATTTCAGGTCTTTGTTTAAATATTTTAAGTTTACTTAAGCTAAATTGATATTTGCATTGCTTAGTAATAATGTTTCTGAATGGCATGATTTATAATAGGTATTCAGCAAAGTTTGAAAAATAAAAAATGAAAGGATGCAGCTCGTTCAGTCATTCCATTTCTGATCTATCGTTTAAAATATCACAGCCTATTTTTTCTAATCAATTGAAAGTTTGAAAGCACAATGCAATTTCCTCTTTTCTTTACACTTTATTAAAAGGATTTAAGTGGCGTATTTTTCTTAACGATCCATTTCCCGGCGGATTATCCATTTAAACCACCGAAAGTAGCATTCACAACGCGTATGTATCACCCAAATATCAACACAGCCTATTTTTTCTAATCAATTGAAAGTTTGAAAGCACAATGTAATTTCCTCTTTTCTTTACACTTTATTAAAAGGATTTAGGTGGCGTATTTTTCTTAACGATCCATTTCCCGACGGATTATCCATTTAAACCACCGAAAGTAGCATTCACAACGCGTATGTATCACCCAAATATCAACAGCAATGGTAGTATTTGCTTGGATATATTGCGTTCGCAGTGGTCACCAGCGCTTACCATTTCTAAAGTACTTCTTTCGATTTGTTCGCTTCTTTGCGATCCAAATCCAGATGATCCGTTGGTACCAGAAATTGCTCGCGTTTACAAAACAGATCGTGATAGGTAATGTTTGTTTTTAGAGATAAACAATTGTTTTTACGGACTGAACATCCATTTTTGAAAGTTTTTTGTCAGATTGCCGAAACGGAGAACAAGGTCATGATGATGCAGAGGGAGAGCTAATATATATTTCGGAAGATACTTTAGCGAAAGAAACTCTACTGTTAGCTGATTAAATTTGGCGAGATAAACCACTACCTTTATATAAACCACTACCTTTATATAAACACTGAATGATAACATTAATTTTGAAGTAATTGTATGTCTGTTCAATCACCAACTTGACAGATTTCGTGTGCTTAAAGTATGAGGTGTTATCTGGTTATGAAGTTGATATTTGTGTTGTCCGATATTAGTTTTATTACATGTAAAATTTAGATAGTTACAGTTTCTTTTTTCTTTACTGGCTACAGTTAGGCATTTTCATAATCTTTAAATACTTTAAATAAGTTAATCATTGCAGGTATAATCAATTAGCTCGTGAGTGGACTCAGAAATATGCAATGTGAAAGACCAAAAAGTAACGGGTCGCGCGCGCTTAGGATACATGTGTACACCATCATTTGGAATTACTAAACGTGTACATGTTTAATTTAGTTTTTTGTTTAAATCGAAGAAAAAGTTCTTTCTGTTTGTCATTACGACAAAATAATTCTCTCATTAGTGGGCAAACTTTTGTTGTCGTCACCCAAGTATAAAGTTTTATTGTTACAAGTTGCTGATGTATTTTACTTTTCTCGGTTATTTTTTATCATATTTTGCCGCCTAAAAAGAAACAGTTTCAGTACTTATTTATTCAGTTTAAGTTTTTCCCAGAAATCTGTCTCACTCCAGCTCTTCATCTGTGAGGAAATTATTTATTATTTTAGTATCTCTAGAAAAAAAGATCTTTGTTTCTCCCTTCTTTTCTTGTCTTGATAAACAGAAGAATCTAAAAGTTTTCTTATAAAATGCAATTGCAATTTTAACACCGTTATTAGTCTTCCGAATCGATTGTTTACTAATTATGTCTCCCAATCCATATGAAACATTAATGGAACAACTGAAACTTAATTATCTTACAAATTACAGTTTTTAATGTTTTCCGTTTCTTTTTAATGAAAAAGGTTTTCCCATTATATGTTAGACTTATTTTTACTCTTTTATTTTATGTGGAGATTTAGACAAAAAAAAAAAACATTAATACATCCCAAGTTTTGCTTGATCTCGTACTCCGGATAGTCCGTTTTCTTGAAATTGTCATTGGAAAGATCTTAAACTGATTTGCCCATGAAAAAATTTTGAAATCTTCGATTAACAAATCAAAGTATTTCATTAGTTCGATATATAATAAATATAATCAATCGATGGGAACTTCGGTCAGCGAATATGAAGCAAATAAAGCTATATTAATAGTCTCACCGAACACAGGAAGTACCAAAAGATTATCTGACTTCTATTTGTCTCGAATATAGTTTTGTTTTTCCTGATAGGACGTATGCGCGATGGTTGAAGTGAATTGAAGGGCCTGTTGTTCGCTCGAGTATCCTTGGAAGGATATGCCTGTTGTCTAGAGCATTCGTGTCTTTGCCTCATTTATTTATTTATTGGTTTGCGCAAGTAACTGATAACGTAAAGTGTGCTAGAAAAACCTAACTTCGGCGCTTTGCAGGAATATTTGTATTGCACGGCAGTTTGAATCATGTTTTGTTCGCTTAAGCTAATGACTCATTAAGTGGAGATTGCCAGCAAGTTGCTTACTCTATAGAACCATTCATACTAAGTACTGGCTCAAAGATTCAATGGAATTAACGATTCCCGACCTAATATTTTAAATATTCTGTAAAAGAAGAGAATTTCCTTGATAAAAATTGTATGAAAGTATCTTGCGTTATCACAAACTTAGCTTAAACTTTGGGATGCTTGAATGTTTCAGTCAATGGCAGTACTAGCATCAGGAAAATGACCCAAGTAAAATGTCCTATTTTCTGGAAATATGTAGTTAACGATGAGAATCAAATTATAATTGCTTATTTAGGTAAATTACTCTTGCAAATGATATTCTATGCAAGCGTTTATTTTCTGCTTGACGAATGCATCTGTATGTGTATTATAATCAAAATAATGCGGAATGTCATATACAAAATTATCAATTAGGAAATTACAACAGCGAAAGTACAATGGGGAAATATTGGGAGCTTTCCAAGAGAAGAGTAATGTATGAGATTTAATTTCAATTTTCATGGATTCAATTAATTTAGCTAGATGCCTTAGCATTACTACAAATCTCTTAAATGCAAATGAAGCTTAAGCAGTCGTAATAAAATGTAAAATCAAGTTTAAGCACATCTCAAATAATCTCATTTGTCGAGAAATGTTCGATCGATATCAGTGGAAAAGTTTCTTTGACATTGAAGAGATTTGTAATCGGCTCTTACAACTTCTTAATAATTTCTCTAAGATACTAAAAACAAAACAATTGAATAAGAGCATTGCTATTTTTTTCTGTTCGTCATTATACTATATGCCTAAATTGGCGTACTACAATCAGTAAATGCTTTCCTCAGAATATCATATCCCAAATAAATTATTTAGAAGTGTAAAAGAAAAAATGAAAGCGTGAAGACTTTAAAGCAGTAAGAAAAAACTTTAAAATAATCTTATTACTTCAAAGTCGTTGCAATATAGTTTCCATAATCATTGAAAGCAGTGAAAAAATTAGACTGATATGACTGATATAGACTGATATATAAGTGAAATATTTTGAAACTTTGGAATGTCTAGAAATTTCGAAAGCAACTATAATAATAATTATTGTTCCAATAAGCAATCGAGCTATTATAAGTGATCGATCTGTGAATCTACAAGTAAATTATCGCTCGATCTGTCGAATCATTTGCTAGGATGAAAGAACGATATCAAACTGCTACAGAAATAAAAAAAAATATAAGTTAATGTAAGTTAATGCAATTCAATATTTAGCATTCTACAGCAATTATTTAAAAAATCAGTTGTCTCACTTTTCTAGGTGATTGAGAATCAGAAGTAGACACTAAAAATCAAAAATAAGAATGAAAACCTAGACAGTGAAACAACTTCAGCAATTCAGAAGTACTGATCTGAACTAGCATTAAGAAACATTGAAAGGCATTGAATAATAATCACAATTGCATTTCATAGAGGAAATAATTATTATAAGACATACATTATACATTGCATAAAACTAGTGAAATCCATAAACAAAAACAAAGCAAGAAATGTATAACAGACCATTATTGGATACCACCCTGAGACTTTGAGCTTACAAGGCATTTTGCAAATTTTGAAAAAATTTTAACTGCATTACTTGCTAAAACAAAACTGCATTACTTGTCAAAATTTTTAACTGCATTATTTGCTAAAAACGCAGATTAACCTATCATCCTTAAAAACATAAATTAAACACCAATCATTCTTCAAATGATTACAACATCGAATCAAGTTTTCATACCATACTTCTTGTCCTATTTCCCTAACATCTATAAATTATCAATGTAATTGATGTTATAGAAAATAATCTTATTGATCTCAATTTAACCATAATGGTCGTCAACAGAATGAGGACGAGAAATAAGCTTACACTTACAGAGTCCAGAGAAAGACAAAACCAAGTTGCAATTTAAGAGTAAAACATATAAAAAAAAATGATCAAAATTTGATAAAATCAACAAAATTAGACAAGAATGAACATGGTTGAAATATTTGAAACTATTTTTATTTTATATTAGCCTAAACCAACATCTAATGCCATCATAATCAAGAAGCCAATAACTGAACTTATAGAGGCCAATCGACCATTACCATTTCGTTGTGCTTCCGGTATAATATCATCCAAAACAACATAAATCATTGCACCTGCAGCGAAACTTAGTGCATACGGCAAAACAGGTTCCATTAAGATCACGGCAGCTGAACCAGCTAATGCTCCCAGTGGTTCTACCATACCTTAAAAAAGAGCTTTAAAAGCCTTAAGCTACAGAAAATCGTGCTAAAGAAGAATATTCATATCTATATACTTTTTTATATATTAGATTTTTACATATTAGCAAAAATATTAAGAATAGCAAAAAAATAAATATTTAGCTTTATCAAGAAAACATCAAGGATTAAAAAATAAATTAAAAAATTCATTATTTGGAACGATGCAGCCACAACCTTACTAAGACTATCCAAACATTTTCTAAAGTAAAACCGTGTCATTACATCTAACCCTGTTAAGCCAATGGACATCAATTTGATCAAAAAAATTGATGGGCGTACTTATGATAAATTTTCCGGACCTTAATTTCGTTTGCATCAGAAGTTAATCTGTGGCTTCGAAAAAGAAAAGGATAAAGATTGTCAAAGAGAAAAAAAAGAAAATCACTGCAGCTAACCGGATAATTGTCCGTAAAAGAAAGATTTCATTTTAGTATGACCGAAAGCGGCAAGCGGAAGTGAAACGGCTAATCCTTCTGGGAAATTTTGTAAACCAATACCAAGTGACAAAGCAAAAGCCGATTCGAACGTCGCCTTAGCAGTTTTACCAATAGAACCTATAAATAAGTTAAAAAAACTAATTTTAAAATAAGATGATTTCCGAATTAGAGAAAACCATCGCTTCAGTCATTCTCCCGTTATAAACTGTGCCCCATATAAACTTAATTTTCGTAATCGAGTATGAATAATTTTAAACTCAAAGCGTACCAAATGCAACACCAACAGCTAAACCTTCCGGAATATTATGTACTGTGACGGCAATAATTAACAAAAGGATGCGTCGCCATGAGATAGGTGCAATAAGAGCGTGTTCTTTATCAATTGTTCGAGTACCGTTTTCCTCCACTGTTACTGCTGTTGTTGCTGCGTCTGAGGTACTTCCGTCCGTATTGTTAGTACTAGTGGTGGAATCATCCGTTCGATGGATCCTAAACGAAACAATCCATTATTCTGCTTTAGATATCATTACAATTTTTTTGATCACTCAAACAAGATAATTTACATGCAAAGCTGCAAGAAATATAAGCATTTGTTGATTGAAATAAAACAATACGTCTTAGTAATATAGAAGTATCACTCCAACCTCAACGGTTACGTATTTAAGCTACCATGTCAACAATTATGTCAACTTGGGACTCTTCATGTGCTATAGGTAATAAAAATAATAGCACATATTTTCTATATCAAATTTATTTAACCAGTTGATGTTGTTGCGTCTGTTTAAATCTCCAAGCACATGTATAAATAGATGAATATATATGTGCGCCATATGAAGCCATAATTACTGTATTACCAGGTTAATCACGATAAATGCAATTTTGGCTTATTGCATTTTTCAATATCAATTAAAAAGCGTGTTTTATCTACTATTAACATAGAAGATCAGTCAGAAATCAGCTTATTTTGCATGAACAAATTTTTTCAGTTAATTTCTTCAGATTTTGAGGATTCAAAAAACAGTACCTAAAAAAAAAGCTTTTTCTAGCAGTGCATCATGGTATTAAAGAATTCGAAAGCAAAAAGAAAGTATTCGGAAATGATTTTTTGCATGGAAACGAAAAAAATAGGATCCATTGTGCAGTCCGATTTGAAGAAAAAGGAAAAAAAGAATTATTCCAACTCTTTTTAAGATAGGAAAGAGTTTTGCGGTTATTAAAAAAATAAGGGAAAGGAAAATTGTGTAAACAAGTTTCAAGCAAGGTCAACTCCACTACGGTAGAGCCAATGGACACCCACACCTATTGTTGGCAGTTCGCCGACGACTTATTTGACCGGCTGTTTTTGCAGGAGCAGATCCATACCGTGCAATATTATCGTTTGATTCCTTAAGTTTCACCATTGATATACTTTCTCCAACAATTACATCCAACGGTTTGACTACTTTAGGACTGACTGTGACATCTTCCTTTAATAGATCCACCACTGCGATTTCCGAAAGCACACAACTAAAACAGAACTAAGGAAAAACGATTCTTTATATGGATTTAAAACTAATTTTCTAGGAAAAAAAGATTTCTTTTTTAAATGTTATACTTCCATTAGCTATTTAAAATAAGCAAAAGTTACAATCAGTTACAAAAAATGCATGATTTTTGAAAGTAGCACGTATATTTGGTATGATGGTGAAAAAAACTACAAAGTCTTTCTACATACCTCCAAAAATCACTAAACTGTAGTGAAATGAAATTTTTGCGGGTAGAATTATCCTATAAAGTTCAGCATCAATCCTCTCCCTTACCTTGGCATCATCCGATCAGCAGCATATACAAAAGCAGAGCCAGCAGCAAAACCCACTGCGACTGGAAGGAATGCGAAAGAGCCCATATCTATCTCTGATAATTCGATTGCTGGTGCTAATAGACTCCAAAATGATGCCGCTATCATAATTCCAGCAGCAAAACCCAAACTCACATCTGCAAAAGAAAAACAAGCTCTGATCCGAATCATTATTTTTTTTCCAATAAATATTAAATAGTCCAATATTTTATTGAATTGAGTAGATGTTAATGAGCTGATAAAACGTAATCACTGCGTCCAATTTACTAACTTTATCTTAATAACTAAGCACAACTCAGTTATTTAACCTTATTTGCTCAACTCGAGATGATAGTTTTTGATAGCCACCTTAGTTCCAAATGTTATTCCAACTTCAAATTCGAGTCTTTATCAAATCTTAATTACTCATTTTACTCATTCAAAATCGGTTAAGTAAATTAAATACATTCAAATTATCACCTAATTAATTATTTCGATTATTTGAATTCAGGTTATTCTGCAGAAAAAATAAAGAGTACACTCTGAGTGAAAAAAAAAGATGATATTGCTTAAAGCTTCGATTTAGGTTGAGAAATTTATAAGTTGAAATCTTATTTTGCAGTTACCAAGTAGCTTCTTATTCGATGGCGGTGTGAAGAAAACAACGGCAGCACCAAGGGCAGTAACACCCCATGTAAACAATGAAGCAACAAATGCTTGCGGTATGGTATTCCAACCCCGGATCATCCTTTCAAAAATATCAAATTCAGAATTAGCTATCTGACACTTGGACTTCGCCCAGAATGCAAGAAAATTTGTACCTTGATATGACTTGATTAAATTAAATCAAAAATAAAATAAATTCTGAAGTACATTTTGAACATTTTAATTAAAGCAATCACATTTAAACATACGATTTGCACGAAATAATTGACAAATTGAATTATAAATGTTTTACTAATCGAAAAAAAGTAAATATATGCCAAAATTACACAACTAATATGATTTGTCAATTTGTCAATTATGTGAAATTAAAGAAAAGAAAATAACGAAAAAACAAACATTGAAGCAATAGTAATATGAAACGGAAAATCTTTTCAAACAAGGAAAAGTATCAAAAAGAATTTAAACCTGAAAGTTTTCACCAGAGTAGATATTGCTACGTAATCACCTGGATCCTGAATCCAGTTTGCCCTTATCCAGGATCAATTCACCTCATCCCGAGACATCCCCGAGGAATAAAGAAAAAAAGAGCGGGAACAATGCGGAAAAGTTGAAAAGAACGTTATGCAACACATTCATATCTCACCATTTCTGCTAAACTATTTACGATGATAAATGTGGCTGGAAATGATTCAATCTAAATTCTTGTCTTAATTTAAAATTACAGAAAACTTAAATTAAATTAATTAAAGGAAAAAATAAAAACAAAAAACCACAAATGAAAGATAATAAAATGAAATAAAATAATTGAAAATTGGAATAATAAAAAAAACTAAACAAAATAAAAACTATTTTTGGATTAGTTTACAAATTTTTAGAGTTTTTATTGAATTGAAAATCTGTAGATCTTTCATCTGAAAGACAACCACAAAAATTGTGTTCCGTTATTTCTCACTCAAAATTCTAAGATTCTTGGAAGGACAAATACACGCGAGAAAAAGCACAACAAAGGGATCACAACATAGGCGGTAACAAAACGCTATACTGACAACGACCTCCACCACCACTTGCCATCAGATATGTAAAACGACCTTTTCTTTCTTTCACACACAACAAGAAAGTCATTGATTGAATTCGATCTTTTTTTCCGGTTGAAAATCAAGGTCAGGATGTGAAATAATCTAATTATATCAATTTCTAATTTTTGAAATTTAAGATTAAAATTAAATAAATTAATTAAATAAACGAAAATTATATTTAGCTTCTTTCTATCAGTAATATTAAATTAAATGAACATTATTTTACTACATTAAGTGTAACCAGCACACGTGAATCATTGATCACACGTATTTGATTCACGTAATCTACACATGCATTTTCAATTATAGTTTACCTCTTAAAACAAAAAATTATAATTACTAATATAATCTAAAATTCAGCAATAAATAGGAAATTAAAGGGACATTACTTAGACAGTAATTTAAGAATAATTTAACTTTTCTAAAAATATGAACGAAAAAAAAACTGTCAGGAATTACTATCTGAAAATCGCTGGTACTTCATCTCTCGAAAATCGTTGGTATTTCGTCTCTCTACTTCATCTTTCGGAAATCGTTGGTACTTCATATCTCTCGAAAATCGTTGGTACTTCATCTCTCGAAAATCGTTGGTACTTCATCTCTCTACTACATCTCTCGAAAATCGTTGGTACTTCATCTCTCTACTTCATCTCTCGAAAATCGTTGGTACTTCATCTCTCTACTTCATCTCTCGAAAATCGTTGGTACTTCATCTCTCGGTGGTCTAAACTTCCATTTCTTAAAAGGACAAATGTACGAAAATAAAAGCAAAAAAAAATTGCAGCACAGGGAGTCAGTCATTAAAGTGTGTTTTATTGATCATCGCTCTATACATATGTGAAATTGACCTTTGCTCTTCATACATATGTAAATGACCACCGCGCTTCATCACAAATGCCAAATTGACCTATCTCTTCATTTGAGTATCTTACACTAACTAACTTTGACGCTCCTTTATATTTACCGAATTAATAATACAATTCCCACAACGAATTAATTGTTGAAGACAAAATTTTCCTCGAATTTGAAATTAAAAAAGAAAACTGATTAATCTAAACAATAACAAGATATAGCAATAAATTAATTCAAAAATTTTACAATCTATTTAATTTGAAATTAAATAAGAAATGAATTAATCAAATATCATTTAATAAAATTTGAAATAATATATACATATATATTTGAAGAAGAAAAGAATGAATAAAATCACTGTCATAAATGATACTTCGTATACTATCACAAATACACACAATGATAACTACTGATAAATTTTCTTATATTACAATCTATTATGATTATTTCACAAATAATAAATTAATTAATTAAGCAAATAAACAAGCAATTGACAATTTTCATTTTGCATAAAAATTAGTAAAGAAATATACGCATGTATTATTATCCTACAAAAGTGAAATGGTATATATAAATAAATATTTGGAGAACAAAATGTTCCTCTCATTGAAATATTATCATCAAATTTACATATTTGGCATATTTTTTATGATTGTATCGAAACAAACCAACGAAACGATCAATTGCAACATTTAATGACAGTTGATGCTTATTTTGTTGAAAATACATTAAACATTAAACATTAAACTTACTACACCAAATCTTTAATTAATCTTAACCATAAAAAATACGCTTTATACGTAACTACGCCACACGCAAAATGATAAGATAATGATAATGATAAATAAAGATAATGAAGTTTGGAATTGATATAGTTATCTATAGCATAGAGCCAGATATAAATAAAAGTGAAGGAGTATTACACTGAACGTTTATCTATCCTCGATGATAATACTCTGCATTACAACTATTGTTACAAGCACTATTGTTTATTATTATTGTTATTATTAATAACAGTAATTATTATTGTCATTGCTATAATGATTCTTTCATAGATTGTAATATAACAATTCTGTTAAAGTCTAATAAATATAATCAAGAATATTTATAATAATTCCGATACATATAAAATCATTGTTATATTTATTTTAATAAGTTCATTTAATTACAATAACTAATTAATATTATTTATAATAATAGTTAAATTACAGAAAGACAGAAATCACCTTGACGAGGAAGGAACTGGTGACAATTTTAATAAAAGGAAAGTGCCAAACGAAATAGACAGTAGTGTTAATCGCTTATACATATGCAATAATTGAAGTAAACAACAGATGGGGTCGAATGTTCCGTCTGATCGTTAACAATCTTCAATTAGTAATATAATAGGTTTATTTATGAGATGCGAGAAGATATCCTTTCCTTTTGAAGAAACAACGATAACAATTAAATATCATTTCATTCTTTCATTTCTTTTTTTTTAGTTTAAAAAAGTATTAAATTTAATTGTCTTTTCTAATATATATTAATTACTTCGGATATCGAAATATTTCCTGTTTTTCTTTCTTCTTCCTAATTTATCATTTATCATTTATCACTTTTTTCTTATCATAATTTCAATAAAACAGCAAAATTCGTTTTGTTGAGTTGAATGAATAAATATTTTAATAAATTATGTGAATATAATGTTAGCATAAATTGTTATAATTAAATTAAGCAATATGTAAAAGTACTAAAAAAGAAAGAGATAAAAATAAGTGTAAAAAAAAGAAAAAGTGTAAGAGGTAGAAAGTGAAAAAAGCAGAAGAGAAGAAGAAAAAAAGAAAGGATGAAAGATTTTAAAATGAGTTCATTAATACTCGATGATACTTATCAATGATCCCTTATCATTGCTATTTCCAGTTGTAAAGATATCATTAAAATTTGCATATCTAAGTATTAGAAACAAAAAATAACTTTACAATATAAAAATATTTACATAATTAAAGATATCTTTTTATATTATTGATATTTATGATAAAGAAATTGTTTGTTTGTTTCAAATTTTTGATCTACTGATAAGATATCCATTGTTTATTCTCTTGATGTACAATTCCAAGAATATCATCAGTAAATTATTCTCAAATCATTTATAATCCTTTATTTATCATTAATTTTTTTTAATAGATGATCGTTTGCTTATCATAATTAGTGCTCATCAAGTACAACCCAATTTGAAAGTATTATATAAAGTGTAACTTATTTCTCTGAAAACAAAAGCAGTCATAAGATCATCAAATTCTTCTGAATCGCTACCTCAACGAGAAGTCTCAAATAACGAATATGATCGACTTATGATATTGTGATATCAAATGGTAGTGAATAGGTAATGTTAAGGCATATATGTATGTATTTACTCTTACACACATATATGGATTTACTTTTTTTGCATATATTATTTACGTATTCACATCCATTATTTTTGTTTATATTTGCATGTTTGCATATATTTCTGATTTATTTCTATTTGTTTACTCATATAACCAATCCCAATTCATTACTTGTTTACTCATTTATTCAATTACAGTGCAAGATGGACTAAATCAGGCAAATATCCCAGACAATAACATCAATTTGAGACGATAAGTTGCATAGAGTCTCTGAATGGTCGACCATGTGCTACTAAAGAATGACGCATATATCATTTTTGTTAGTTATTTGCTCGTGATTTTGTCAGGTGCGCAATGCATAAAGTGATGATGTAATATCAGGATTGGAAGTAGAATAGGTGTTTAGCCTTTGTTTTTTAATTCTAATTTTCAAATCCCATGGTAAAGTTATAACTTCAGATACACGTGTACGGATTCCGGATTCGAACGTAGCTGTTTAGCAGTTTCATATTATCGACGACCGTAAGATGTCGTTAGATAGTAAGGTTTATTTGTATGATATCCGTAAACTAAAATCTATCAGACCTACTTCGTTTTGTAGTATTTATGCATTTTTTCTTAGTTCAAAAAAATGAATAAGAAAGAGAAGTCTTAGACCCTGCATCGTTTCCATGTTCTGTAGTTGCCGGGACTTGCATGTTCCCTTCACTTTTTACATTCATAAGTTTTGGTAGAAATCTGCTCACTCGTTTAATCCAATTATTGATAGCAAGTTTCTTTTAGTAGTTATTTGCCGCATACTTTGGTAACATTTCGTTCAATTTTATTAAAATTTGCGCAGTACTTTTAGATCACCTTTTCAATTTGAAGTTTGCTTCAAAAGAGCTGCAGCGAAACTCGAAAAAATGCGAAAAGGAAGAAAAAGCAGAGAAGACAAAATTAACAAATGCAATAAAGGTCTTTTTTTCACGTCTTTTTCACATAGCATTTCTTTTATCATTAAATGATGATTTAATAAGCGAATAAATGTTGACGTTTCATGCACGGTTTGATTTAACCGGTTTGATTTTGTATGATATTTTTGTCCTCCAAGAAATTCTTTTCTGTTGAATTAGTTGCACTTCATTGTAGAAAGGTAATATGGAAGTGGCGCAGGTGCACGCCGAAAATGCAATACGTAAAAAGAATGAAGCACTAAATTATTTAAGAATGTCGGCAAGGATCGATGCAGTAGCGGCACGTGTACAAGTTCGTTTCGTTTTTTTTTCTCCTTCTATTTTTTAATTTTCATCATTAGAAAAGCAGCTGAAAGTATTTCAGTACAGTATATTTCCAAATATAACAGCACGTTATCGGGATGATTTAAAACGCTATAGGATTTCTTTCGTCAATTCTTGATTAAATTCTCAATACGTTTGGAGAAAACGAAATATCATTAGAGATTGTATTTCATTTATCTTAAAAGGGGCTTTAGAATTATTTGGCATGTTCTGAAATGTGAATTTTGCAGACAGCTGCAACACAAAAACGTGTAACGCAAAGTATGTCTGGTGTTGTGAAAGCGATGGAATCAGCTTTACGTTCAATGAATTTGGAAAAAGTGCAGAATTTGATGGATCGGTTCGAGAAAGATTTCGAAAATTTGGACGTACAATCTGCCACAATGGAAGGGTCAATGTCAGCCACAACAACGTTAAACGCCCCTCAAGCACAAGTTAATGCCTTAATCCAAGAAGCGGCAGATAAGGCTGGGTATGTTTTCTCTTTCGTTGATCTTGTGATTTCGTTCTAAATCTCACATGAGCAGGCAAAGGTTGTTCTAGAAAACTTGAGCTTTATAATACCTTTTTGTGGCGTTGCTGAATATAGTTGTACACCGAAGCTATTGTGTGAAAAAACTTTTAAATTCTTTTGTTTATTAAGACAAGGAGGGGAGAAGTAAGGATCCTTTTTTCTAGATATACTAAAACAGTAAATGATTTCTTCGCAAAGGGAAAGTTGAACTGGAACAGATTTATGGGAAAAGCTTAAACTGAATAATGTTAAATACTAAAACTGTGTGCATAACTGTGTTGTCCTACTCCACATCGTCTATTTTCACTTTTGATTTTAGTTTTATCAAATATGTAGAGCATTATTACCGTTTAGTATTTTTTCCTCATCTGTATCATTTCTCCCTTTTTTCACTTCTTTTTGATTAGTTTGGTAATAAATAATGTCTGTAGATATCAAATTATTAAGAGATATAATTGCTAGGAACTAAAGAGTTTTTGAGGATGACATTCGAAGAAAAAGCTAAACAGCATAATTTTTCGAATATTTTTAATTTTCACTTTAACCTAAAAACAAAAAATATCTTTTATGGCATATCCGTTTTCTCTGCATTTAAAAGTATAAAATTGCAGTTTGGAATTGAACATGGAAATGCCATCAACAGCATCAATCGGTGGTAAAGTTTCAACATCAACAGCAGAAAACGATGAGCTAACACAACGTTTGGCAGCGTTACGACAAAATTGATATGAGAAATTCATCTTAATGATGTTAAGAATTCATACGGTAGCATTGAATGACATATTTTATTAACATGAGCTTTTCGTGCTTGTTGAATTATTTTCTAAAGTTTAACCTTTTTCTCACTTAAAATCTAATCGATTTTGTAAGTAATCGTCCATTCCAGCTAACTTTACCTCTTTTCTTCCTTCCCAAAAATGATGTGCCTATTATTCTTGAGAATTTTTTCCCAAATGTAAGATAAATGCAAAGTCCGTATCAAAGCAGCTTTAGTAATAGGTATCGAATGTGATCAACTTTAACACTATGGGAAGAATGTTCTAAGATCCAAATAATAAATTTTGACTTATTGGAAGAAGTAATATTTTGAGATAGCAAGGAAAGTTCGTTTTTCCTAAGATTTCTAAGGTCATTAATAAAATAAGTTGATGACATTCGGCTGCCACGTTGTTTTGAAAATGTAACCCCTGATTAACCTGTAAGTTGTCATTGTAAATTCCATGTTTATTTTGACTGTATTTAAATAAAATATTTTGCTCTGCAAAGAAAATTTAAGTTTAGCTAAAGTTGAGGATTTGACGTGACTGTTCTACTTGTATTTTTATTGCATTTTTGCTGAGATGATTGCATAATACGGAAAGCTTGTTGATGTGTTTAATTTTCTCTTGAAATTAAGCACCTCTTTTTAAACTCCAATATATTATCACTTCTTTGTACGCGGTAGAAAGGATGTAATGGTATGCTTATCAATCTATTTGTTTTCGAATATTCCTAATTAGCTCATCAGTATTATTCAGAAGATGGAGTAGCGACAATCCTGTAACTGAATCTAGATAATTTTTTTCAATAAATTTTGAATGTAAAAAGTTGTGGGATTATTTCACAAGATTTTTGTTCCGGAATTCATTGTAATATATGTAGTAAATTGGTTTTCATAATTATTGTCATTGACTGCTGTTCAAATCCAAAGTATTGATAATTCTGTCGTCTGCAAAAAGAAAAAAAAGTTGCTGGTAAGTTTGATTTTATTTCACATCAATCTACGATAATAAATTGTCTACTAATGATATTGCCTCAGTACCATTGGTAGCACTATTTCTTGCTGCTGTACTGATTGATTCAGCATTCTGAAATAAGCAACAGATTAAATATGGTAAAGTTTGAAATCAATCAGACTAGGGAAAAAAGCATAAAAAACTGAAATAACTTTCAAATGTGATTAAATCAAATAAGTTTCGTTTCTCCGGCAAAATATACCAGAATTTTCTGCTGAATATTACTACACATTGTTAATAGTTTGCTTGCTTCATCTATTAAATCATTTTGATCCACACATTCTCCATCAATCATACCCAATGTGCATGGCAAACGTTGAAGATTTTGCACCGAATCATAAACTAATCGTAATACTTCCATAAACTAAAATTAAAGGTGAAGTTTTTTCTATGAAAGAAAGGAGAAGAGATATAATGATGGCAATTAATAATGATTGTAGCAATGATAATTAGTAATAGTAGTAATAATGACAATAAATAGTAATGGTAGTAACAACAATAATAATTAATAAGACAATAATGATGATGGTAAATAACACTTATTTTCTGTTTTGTAGTAATTGTATTATTATTACTGATAGTAACAATAATTATTAATATTTTAATTAATAATTAATTCAATAGCTTTTTTTTTGTTTTACAATATTTAGTAAAACTATTATGTATTCTTATTTATTATTAAATTCATAATTAAATTGAGGTTATATTAGTAATATAACTTAATTTAACAATTTCTTGAATAAATCATCTTTTCAATTGAAAAATGGTTACCGTATTATCATCACCCGATTTTGTTGGTACGAATTTAGGTGCCTGTAATCCGCTTATTATCACATTAAATAAATCATAAATCAATAATAATATAATAAGGAAAGAAAAGTTTGTTTTGTTTTAAAATTCTATTTTTATATAATAATAATTAATTTATTATTATTATATTTATTATATATTTCACAAATTTCATTTTCATTGAAATAAAAGAAGCGGAAAAATTCCTAGAAAAAAAAAGAGATTAATAAATAAGGCTAAATAATTTTATTTTACATTAATTAAAAACAATTTTACCGATGATAAAGGTAAATCATGTGGAATGGATTGATTATAATTATTGCTAAGAATATTATCGATTGTAGTAAGATGCTTTTTTGTTTTATGAAGCTGCAACTATTTTCAAATGAAGAAAATTGAACATTTTAGCTGTAATATTAAATCTAATCTGAAAACATGCTAAAATTTAACCAGCTAATTTAATGTAAAATGATATTTTATTTTGTTTATGATAAAGAAGAAAAAAAATTTTATATCAAATCTATTATCACTAATTAGCATATCTATATATTATTGTCTGTTGTAGAATTTTATGATATTTTAATTAAGCATAATTAACCGTTCGTTCAATGTTATCAAAATAAATTTCTGATAAATAAGACGAGGAAGTTTCAATAAGTGTTCGTCCAACACACTGAATGAAAAATTCTTACAATTTATAAACAATTGAAAAAATGAAAATTCATTTTAAAAAAAAAGTTCCACAATTTTGTTGAAAATTTTAAACGTTAAAATTTATCAAAAAGAATGCGAAAAATTGATTTTCTTACATTTTACTCTAAAAGGTAAACATTTTTTTCCTTCAAATTTTTGAAGTTTAAAAATATGGCAAATTGGGAATATTCAAAAATGCATTCTTACCTTTTAAGACAAAGAATTAATTAATTACCTGTAGTAAAATTAAATCCCATTCAAGTTTACTTAACTTTTGACGAATTTCCATTTCATTAAATGCAAATGTATTTATTCGATATGATAATTTATGAGTGTAATGTTGGCACATATTTTCCAAAAATTCAATTCGATGATTATAATCCTTTTTGATTTGACAAATTCGATTGTATAACTGAATTTTGAAGTGAAAAGAAATGAAATTCTCACTGATACATTTTAATTATGACAAGGTGAATTCGATTATAAAACATTTGTTATTAATTTAATCGATTTGAATTTATAATTTTTGCTTATAATTTTCAATGTGATTAAAATTTTTAAAATAATTCCAATCTTAAGCTAATCTATTAATTATGAAATTTCATTAATTATTTTAACATATTCACCATTATGCATAATTTGCCATTAATTAATTATTTTAACATATTCACTATTATGCATAATTTGCCATTAATTAATTATTTTAACATATTCACTATCATGTGCAATTTGATCACTTTTTGTTTAGATTTATCAGAAATTACAAATTCCCTTGTATAAATTTTTGTATTTGTAAGCAGTGTTTTAAAAATTTTTTAATTATTATTTTCTTTTAATTGCCATTAAATATTTTTGTTATCTTTGCATATCTCTTTGTTGATTATAATTAAGGATGTTAGCAATATTATCCGATCATACAGTGCCGTTACAATTATGCTTAGCAGCAAAACTGTCAGCAGATTATAATTATACTAATTGTAATCGATAAATGATTATTATAATAGTACGTTTAAATAAAATCTTTTTTTTTTATTCAAATTAATCAATTTAATCTTATCAATGGTGAAGAAATTATCATTTCTGTATGAATCATCCAATTAAATGGTTCAAAAATTAATTTATTTAGATTAAAAAATTTTATCTAAACATATTTCATTTATTAAATTTGAATAATTAATTATTCAAATATTAAATATCACTATAAATATCTCCAGAAGAATATAACGAAAGAATGGATGCGAAGTGAAAATAATTCTATGCGAAAGATTTGGTGGATTACTTCAACTTTTCAACTGACCTCATTAAATTTCCGATTAATTTCATCGCTGAAACAATAAAATTCGCTTTCGATCGCTGCATTTGCCTCATTTTGACGATCCACAGACTTACGTGCCTTAATATAAATTAAGAAAAACTAAAAATAATTTTAAATAAACAAAATTAAATTGAAATTCAATATATTAATTAATTGCTTGAAAGAATATACATCAAATTGTTGTTATCAATTGAAAGATAATATTTCAATTTAGAATTAATTCACATTTAATCAACGAATAAAATTATATTTAGCATAAATTAAATTATCATAAAGTTCCATTACTTAAAATATTATATTGTACATATAATGTTTCTCCTAGAACTTTCAGAAATTTGATATGGTAATTTTAATGCATAATTTAAAAATTTCTTCATGCCGAATGATAGAAATAATTAGGATGAAATTTTTATTGATATTTATAATAAATAATTATCTCTCCGAAGAATATTATTCGAAAATTATTACAGGAAAAAGAATAACGTAAATTTTATGAGATTTTATAAATTTGATAATTAAAAAAAAGTTTTAAGTTTTTTGTTTTACCTCTTCAATAATAACAACAGCATCTCTTATCAATGTATTCATTATCTTCGGGTTTGAGTATTCTAAACAATAACTTAATTAAGCATATTTAGTATTCTAAACAATAACTTCGTTAAGCATATTTAATTTATTAAATATTTTAGATAAAGACTGAAATATTTACAAAAATTTAGCTTATGAAGAAATTCCTTTCGTCTTAATTTTTTTTTTGCATAAAATATTAAATAACTTCTGAAAGTTTGGATGATACAATTGTTGTGATTCATTCTTTTTAGTATCATTTATACTTAAATTAAACGTGACGTGTAAACGTGAAATTTTGATTAATAGAAGTTATATTCATTGCCAGCATTTAATGCAACAGATTGAATTAAAAAGAAAATTTAGCTTATTCGTTTCAATTTAAAATATTTATTCGCAATCAATCAATCGTTGATGGTTTACTACTCTTTGTTTTCTTTGATGAAATTAATTTAAAGACAAATAAAATAAGTGAAAAAGAAGTATTAATTAAAAGTGAATTTACGTGAAATGCTATTTAACACCGGAACTATGTGAACTTTATCAAATGATAGATTTAAATGGAATATTATCAGTGAAATGGAAAATTCAAACGAAATATTATCAATGAATAATACTCGGCAAGTTTTCAAAGTTTCCATCTTCAGTTTTTTCAAAACATTTTACCAAATATTTTATTTGACGTTACCTAATAGCTGCTAATAGCTAATTGGAAGTTGTAATTTAGCGACCTAAATTAGAAATGATTCTTTTTCTTGCATCTTCCAACTTTTATATCATCCTATATGCAAATTTCTTGAGATTCATTTCAAGTTTATGCATTCTAAAGCCGTTTGACGATTGAATGTAACAATTCGAAGGAATATCACGTAACCGTTGATAAAACTTAACGTTATCAACGATGAAGCATAATGCATAATTAATGATTAAAAATGTGATAATCGATAATTGTGTAAAAACAAAAGAGTGATCAAATATTGTTATCTAAAAAGAAAATTTTTATATGTATATTTAATTCCATTACTATATGTATTTATTTAATTCCATTACTATATTCCATTACTTTTTCTTTTTCCCTCCTTCTATACTAAATTGTCTTCTTCTTAATCTCATAAGAGAATTTCAACAAAATAAGAAATAATAAATGTTATATTTTATGATAAAATTATTTAGGAAATTCTTCAATACTATAAAATAAATAAGCAATAAAATGGACAATAATAATAACAATAATAATAATAATAATAATAATAATAATAATAATAATAATATTAATAATAGTAATAATAATAAATTAAATTTTAACAAATCAATGAGAATTGCTTGCAAGTTTATGCATCACAATTTTGCCAATCTTTTCTTAAATAAGTAAAATGATACGGTATGGGAACACCCTCTTCATTCTACGGTTGATGATGAATAAAATGAATGATGTCGTTGAGAGAAGTATAGTACCACCCGTTAGTTGTCATATATGGTAAAGAAGTATCACCCATGCAATATATTCCATCTTTCCAACCTTTCAATTCAGCCACGCCCGATAAAACGCAATCTTAACTACTTATGGCAATTTTACCAAAAGGTTTGCGTGCTGCAACAAATTTTCCCAAAAATTTCCTTTTAGCATTCCTACAACGATACGGTGACGTCAATAAAATTATTTACTTTATAACGAAATTTTTTATTAATTTAAAAACGAAAGAACAAAAAAAGAATTTAGAAAATAAGTAGTAGAAAAGTAAGTAATAGTAAATTAGAAAGTAAACGATACGAAGAAAGATATAGTAATTGTATTCATTACGTAAATCTATCAATAACAATAATTAATAGAAACAATAAATAATTATTATTATAAAAAAACTTTTCCCTAAAATTATCTCAGGAAATTTCATCTGTCACGGTAAGTTTATTTTATAATTCTCTCTTTTCAACTTTTCTTCAAACTTTACTTTTACGTTCAATTATTATTTTAATTATTAAATACCTATCAATTATTTAAGGAAATATATTTTAGAATAGCTTTTAGATTTATTTAATAGATGAATAGATTTATTTGCATGTAACACGCAATAATCATTAAACTGTAATATATTTGTTATCAATAGTTCGTTTTTTCTTCTTTCTCCTTACTATGCCAACAATTTGCGTGCTCTAAGTGTATAGGAATGAATAATTATCATAGTGATAGTGATAACGATAACGATAACGATAACGATAATAGAAATAGTGATAATGTTTAATAATTAATGCGACAATATTTTATTTGAAAAAAGAAAATTGTTTATTGGACATGCAAATGTTTTATTAGTCATTTTAAATTGACCATAATATATTGATACTAAAGCAAATTATAATTTATTAAGTAATTGTTTATAATTTATATATAATAGTTATGGGGACATTATTAGATTGCTGGCGATATTAATGAATAATGATTACTAATGAGTATTATTACTTAAAATCTTGGAATTAAAATCAAAATTCAAAAATTACTCTTTGTAGGTATAATAGACAGCTGCCAATAATTTGCATAAATAGTTAATTGTAATGAAATGAAATGAAAAGAATGAATAAAATTATTTTGACAAAATTCCAAATTACCAAAATAATTGAAATGTTTTCTGGAAAAATGCTTAAAATTACTAAATTAATCTTCAGAGTATTCAAATTTGTAATTATTGTTTATTTAATAATTTCATTTTTAATTTCAAAACAAAAAAACAGAATTTGAAATTGATGTTTATTTAATTAATCTAACTAACAATTAGCAACTAATCTATTGTGAGTAATAAAATTTTAATTTAATAAAATTAGATTTTGATTAAAGAAAATTTTATATTAGTTTACTTATCAAATAGTAGTATTCGTTGACAGTTATGTTTGAAAATACTTATTTAAACCTATCATATCTTCTATTTCATCGAAAATTACATATTCATGTATTGTTTTATTAAAATTAATTTAAATAAAAATTGAATGCATTTTTAGATTTTGAACTATAAGTAATGCATGGAAAATATGTATGCCAATAAACGACGACAACGAAATTTCAAACGGTTTGTAATATTTAATTTCCAATTATTAATTATCATCAAATTAGGAAATGATAGATTTTTATTTTGAAACAAAGCTTTAATGTTATCTTTGTTTATTAATTGTAATATTTATTTGAATGAATCATTTACTTAACTGTTTTGAAACGATCATTAAATGCAAAGCGTACAACACGTTATTACGAGAAATGCTTTTCTTATCAATCATTTATCACTTACCTAATCACTCACTTTAAATAATCTTTATAAATCTATGAATGTAAGATATGATAATAAATGTCGTAATGGCAACAATATGATACTGTACAATGATGCCATAGGATGTCAATATAGGAGTGATATGTGTGTGAATTAAACTTTGTCAATCAAATGAAAGAATAGGAAAAAGTTGCAGTAGGAGAAGATATCAAATCAAATGAAAATACGGTTGGGAATTGATGAATAATTAGAATTAAATGATAGAAATGGATTATAGGATTAATGACAGCTAAAAAATTAAATGATAAAAATAATTAGTTATAGGATGGATAGAGAAATAATATAAATATCAATAATTAATAATGTTTTTATTTTAATTTGTAAAAGAATTCATTGAAACAGTAACATAATAATAAATGTGATTAAAAAAAATCATTCAAATTAATTTTATAGCAAAATTATCTAATTAATTAATATTAAGATAAGTATGGTATGAAAATTATCCAATGATATGATTACAATGTTACCGTTTCAATGAATTTTTTGTAAATTAAAAATAAAAGCATTATATGCTTTATTGTTATTTTAATCATTAGTGATAATTAAATAATGTAAAATTAGTGATAATAAGATATAATAAAACGGATATTGCTCGGATCCGATGATAGAGGTAACTAAAGCTTAGAAAAAGCGCAAAGGGCACAAGAGTAGTATGACAATATGATGATGATATGGCGTGCAGTAATGTTGCTGTGAGCTGAAATGCAGGAGGAGGATGGAAAATAGACACAATTTTTGAGCATCACGAAATATTGCCTGACTGGAAAACCTCGAAGCATTCAACGATAACATTGTAATTGTAGTGGTAGGCTCTTGTAATAGCAATATTTCTTTTTGTAACAATAGTTTATTGCTATTGTGATGATAAATCATATTGTTGTAGTAGCAATAGTTAAGCAATAAATCATATTGTTGTAATAGCAGTAGTTATTGTATTTGAAATGCCAGTTGTGCAATAACTATTATTATTGTTTTTAACTATTAACAGTAGTGGAAGCTGTAATAGCTATAAAACTAAAATTATTAACGTTTGTCATTGAAATTATAATACATTACGATAGCATAGGAAATTACTCAACATATTTTTCATATTTGTTATTTCTAATGATAGCAATTCGAATTGTTCTAAGTTTGAAATGTTAGGAAGCTTTTGAATTCTTTTGATATAATTATTGATAACTATATGTTAAAGTTATGGATGTATTCCTTTACATATATCGCAGGGAATGCTCTAAATTAACAATTAATATTCTAATATATTATATAAGCTTAGACCGGAACAAAAATGAATCATTGCAATATAAAATCTTTGTAAGATCCGGAATTCCATCTTTCCGAAGAAAAACCTGAATTTCTTCATAATAGGTTTAAATCTTTAAAACCTATTAAAATTTAGTTTTATGATTAGACTGTTAATAAATGAAACTTATCAATTACTCTTCCTTAACTAATTTTTTGACAAATGAGAGGAGGAAGTTATCGCTGTTTGTCAAAAAGTTTACGAAATAAATTTATATCTAAAATAGGCTTAAATTGAAATTTATTGTTAAGTAATTATTTATCAATTAAGTTTTATCTGTGTTAATGATATAATTAATTACAGTAGTTATCATGTTTTTAGTCATTTTATTCTTTTGGTTTATTTAAATAAATAGAAAATTTTTCAACCGAATTTAAATACATATTTTATTCAGTGATAAGTGACCTATGCGACGAGAACAAAAATTTTTTTGCATAATTAAGCATAAATAAAAGATTAATTAAATGTTTTAAAATAATTGAAATTTAGTAATTAAATGATATTAAATTACATTAAAGATCATAATGAAAATTTTTTTTCAGTTATTTGTTTTTATTATTTGTTTTACCATATTGCATATTGATTTAGGTAACCTAAAAAGCGTTAAACGTGAATATGAAATAGTAACGTGAAATAGTAAAAGGATTATTTATAAGTTATAATATTAATCAAAATAATGATATTACAATTTAGAATTTGAATTATCAATTTTATTCACAAAACATTTTCCTTATCTTATTCATCGACAATATGCAATATGGTAAAACAAATTATGATTGCAACAATAATTACTTTCTTATTGAAGCAAACTAATTACCTCAAACACTTTCTACTGTAACTATAATTGAAAATAGCCACTTTAGTGAGTACCATAATTTTCATACTTTCTATAAAGATAAAAGAAATTTTTACTCTTCCATGGAAAGAAATCAACAAATAATTACCTACCGTCTGTTAGCTATTAGTACTTTAATTTAGAGAAATTATAAAAATTTACATATTACGGTTAATTAATTTGTTTGAAAAATAATACGGTTAATTAATTTGTTTGAAATTCATTTAATATATTTAAAAATAATCTTAATATTATTTCAATTCTTTTTTTCAAATTAATTTCTTATTTTTATTTAAAGACAAAAAATTGCAATTTTTATACCAAATTATATTTAAGCATTAATTTTAATTTCATTTTAATTAGTGCATTAATTAGTATTGAAATTAATTATTTTACTTTTATTGTTTTTAAATATATGTAATATTTTCTATTTAATTCAGTTAATTGAAAATCAGTGATTTAGCCTAGAAAATACAAAAAGTGTTTTTTTTAGCTTTAAATTTAAATTGCTTAAAAAACTTGTTGGAGCTATTCTCTCTTCCTTTTCTCTTCCGCTATAAATTTAATTTACTTACCTGATGTCTTAGTATTTTAATTTCTTAATACAATTAGAATATGAGGAAAGGTGGGTGATTTTAGATAAAACAAAAGAAAATCTGAAATTTAGCTAATTCTATCACGGATATTTCGCTCTTATCCGTGATAAACTTTAACTCGCTCTTTTTTATCTTTTTACCTCTTATTATTTATTTTCATTCCTTCGACAATTTAGTAACTTTCTCTCAAGTCTACAAAAAATTTGAATTTCAGGTTAATAGCTCAAACTTTAAAATGATCGAAAATTATTTGTAATATCCGGAAAGTTTGTAAATCCGGCATTTCTTTATTATTCATAACATATTTTATAGTTTCAATTTTCAATATATTTAATGATAGCACGTTATGTTATTTGCATACAACTACTGCATTTCTGCATTTCTTAACTTTTAAATTAAGATAGAGGAAGAGGAAGTGAAAAAGGAACGAATGAATGAGAAGAGAGGGAAGAAACGATATATTAATTAATAATTAATTATCATGCCTATCATAACGTTGTACATTTTATTTTATTGACCATTAAAATACTTCCTTCTATATCACAAAGGCAGTATACAACAGCTGTTGAAATATTACTACCGTATTCTTGCAATGTTATAGATATAATGAAATAGTAATGATTTAATAGAGAATAAGAGATATTCGATAATAAATTTAAAATTAATTTGAAAAAGAATTCAATGCCATAAATTCATTTTTCTTCTTTCCTTCCAATATTTATTATTTACAAAAGGTTTTATTCATTGAAGTAATTATTCTTTTTAATTTCATTAAATTATAAAACAAAGAAAAAAAGTTATGAAAATTTGAAATGCAAAAAATTAAAATTAATAAAAAGAAATTAATTTAAAAAATTAAGTTGCAAAAAATTTCAGAGTACGTGAAGTAATAAAACCTGAAATTGCAAGTAATCCAAGCAAACGACATCGTGAACGATTGAATAGCGAATTGGAAATTGTTGCTGCGTTATTACCGTATGAACAAAATGTTATTTCAAGGTTAATTTTGAAATTTAATAATTGAACTATCTGTTAAAGTTTCGGAAGGCTAATGTTATGTTATATCTATCATATTATTGAAATAAAATGTTTTATCCTATAAAAACATCGTAGGCAATTTTAATTTAAGATTTAAGAATAATCCAAAAATTTCGACTGCTTAAGTTTTTAAAGTTATCCCATAATTTCTTTGAAATTATTATCAATAAATTAAATTATAAAAAGCAGAAATATTTCGCTTAATTTATTATTAATAATTAATATAAACCTAATTAATTAATTATTTAATAATATAATTTTTGCAAAGAGTAATTTTGCAAAATAATATTGTAATTGTTGAACAATAATTTCACTTATATTAATATAAATTAAATTTCAATATTTAATCAAACTATTTTAAGTAATAGAAAGTATTCCAAAATTACATTATTTTGTATACTTTTTAAAACTGTATTATAATTATTTGACATTATAATTATATAATTTAAAAATTAATAATTAAAATATAATTTAAATACAACTTTTAATCTAATAATTAATAATTAATATTGTTAATATAATATTTCAGGTTAGACAAACTTAGCGTATTACGATTAGCTGTTAGTTATCTGCAAATTAAAGCACATTTTCAAGGTTAGAATATTTTCATTTCATTTTTTATCACTTATCACTTATCAGTATATTTAGTTAATAATTGCATTTCACATATTCATCCTATTTATTATAATAAGTTATAAAGTTTCAACGATGTAAAATTGTTTCGTTGCAACATGACAGCAACAATCTATCTATCAAATATAACAAAATCGAAAAGTGACTTGAAAATATTAGTATAAAAAAGGAACCGCTTCTTATAATGATGTAATTGATTGATGTTAATGACAACATATGCGACAATTCTATCATACCTTTCTTCCGTTTTATTTTTCTTTCCTTAATTAATTAAGTAAACAAAAAAAATATACAGTAACGGTTTTTTCCTTTGCAATTAATTATTCAGTTCGTTTATTATTTCTTTTTGTCTAATACAAAAACGTAATAATAGTAAAAATGAATGATGCAATGATATGAAAAATGTAATTGAAACCATTGTTCATTGTTTCATAAATTGCTTTCAGTAATTAATTTATCATTCATTCTTTTACGTCCGAATTATTAGAATTGCTATATGCAAAAAACTCTTCTAATGATAACAGTTATGATAACTATTAGAAATGATGAAATGATAATTAGAAATGATAATTGCAAGCTAATAAATCTTATCATATTTGGTTTGTTTGTTTATATTATTCAGTCAAAGTTGTGATTCTTTGTTTTTTGTGCTTAATTTGTTGAAAGTTAATTTTATCATTTAAACTGAGAAACAGACAGCATAATAAAATTTACATAGGAAAATGCATAACATATTGTTGCAATGATTTGGAGTTATTTGAATAATTCGAAAATTTCAGGAATAATTAACTAAATTCTTAATTACTGCTTCGTACTATAAAAATTACCTGAGTATCTATCTATTCACTACTTCGTACTATAAAAATTACCTGAGTATCTATCTATATAAATATATATTATTTACTAGTAATAATAATTATTTCCTAATTACTTCGATTGTTATTTATAAATTTTAATGTTTTAATTTTATCAAAAATTAACAATTAATGACAAATGAATTTAAACAAAAGAAATGTATTATCATTTTTGAAAAAAAATAGTTGCATAGAATTTGTCCTCTGATCAAATTTTTTGATATTTTGATGGTAAACACCTGCTCCATATTTCGATTCTTTATGAGTAAGTTGTTCAGTGAAGCATAGAAAAGGTGTGATAAAGCTCATTTGAGGATATAATTAAGTATTTAATTACCAAATATTGCATAAACTAATCAGGTGTATTAGCAAATTTCAATATGAAGCTTAGAAAATAGAATAATGTAAGCAAACGATAAAGTCACATAATCTTTTCTTTGAATTTGAAAATTTTTTAATCGATTTTAAAATCAAAATATTTCAATAAAATTGTAATTAAATATTCTCGATGACATCTCAATAATTGTATAATATTTTTATGATAACATTTGATAATCATTTCTTATACATAACTCAATAATTGCATAATATTTCTATGATAACATTTGATAATCATTTCTTATACATAACTCAATAATTCCATAATATTTCTATGATAACATTTGATAATCATTTTTTGCACATAAAATTTTATCATACTGAATTGATAAAAATTTATCATATCATTTTTGGATAAACATATAAACGTATGTAATTAATATATTACAAATTGTTTTGAAAAAATTTAAATAATCGTAAATAAAATTTGAAACTTTTTTGTTTAAAAGAAAATTTAATTATTCCTTAAAAATATTCAAATTTTTTCTTTACAACAAATTTTCGACAATAATTTTTCCTTTTCCTTTTTCTACTGAATAATTTATATGAAAAGAAAAATGGGATGAATTTAATGATACATTCGTATCGCAGAATGATAGCCATATTGTGGAACATATAATAATAATAATATTTCATACCTTATTATTAAGTATTTCGATCTTTTCCTTTTTGCAATCTTTTTATTCTATGCAAATGCTTCAAATGGGAATATGAAAAAATACGTGGAAATTATAATAAACTTAATTAGATATTTTTTATTTCTTAATTACTTTTAAGTTTTTAATTATTTGCGGTTTTATCTTTTGAATTTTTTATAAATTTCAATTTGAAACAGTTTTTTTGATAATTAAAAGAAATCAAAAATATATTCTATTCTTATCCTAAATTGGAATTAATTTATTTAATCGATTAACTTGAATTGTAAATTAAATTATTTAAATATCTTTATTGTTTTTAATATTACATTGTTGAATAATATTTAAATATCTCTTTTTCAAAAGAATAATTATTACATTGTTATTTAATAAAATTACACAATAGCCATAAAAGTTTTACTTTTAAATTATTTTTAAACTATAATTAATTACAATGGTTGCAATTAAAATAATTAATAAAATTATACTTATTTAAATCATCAAATTTTCCACACATGCATGGAAAATTTAATGTATAACCTATTACTTAACTTTTTACAGTATATCAGTATTTTCTCTTCATAATAATTTTTAATTACTTATTAGCTATTAATTATTGCTTCCGCTAATTATTTTCGTATCGATATATTTGGCTACTTATTGTTAGCATCATTACTAACTAATTCATTTCACTTCTAAGAGCGGATAATTACTTTTACTTAATGAATCTGTCATTTCATATGTTGCTAATTTTAGATATTACCTAACTGATTGATACATATTTCATTTTTTTAAAAGGAAATATTAATATGAATTATTTTTACTTATTCACAAGAAATTTCAATTCCCAAAATCAAATATGATATCGTATGTGTCGAAAACAATCATCACATGTAATCCCTTATATCAAATATCCTGACAGATATTTGACATTTGATTGAAGATTGGGAAAAATCGGGGATAGAGAAAGACGAAAGAAAGGAAAGAGTTTTAAAGTAAATATTTGGTTTAATCGGATCAAGAATGGAAGATGATGATAGATTTGTCAACAACATATCAAATAAGATTGTCAGAATCTCTCTCAGTTAATTCATATAGACAAAAACCGGTAATTAAAAATAACTTTGATGACACTTAATGATTTCAACTTGGCAAATGTGAAATGATAACAACTTCTACATCATTTATAATTGAAAACTATTTTGCGGGAAAAATATGTTTCTTTTCTTCCCTTTTATAATATTTCATTGTTTTATCATTCATTTCTTATTTTATAAGTAATTAATTGAAATTAATGCAAAGTATATTTTTTCCTAAAATTATTAATTTTATATTATTTCTTATTTTTCGTCTTTTTCATTATGTATGAAAAGTTTTAAAGAAATTATTTATAATATATTAGGAAGAAAAGAAATTGATAATTTGCAAAAATAATTAAATCTTTCTTTTTCTCGTCCATATTTTACTATTTCTCAACCATAAACATATCAAATAAGACTGTTAGAATCTCTCTGAATTAATTCATATAAACAAAAAGTGGTAATTAAAAATAACTATGATAATATTTAACATCGAACGATTGAACAAATGAAACAAAAGAGCGAAAATAAATTTTAATAGTTATCATACTGTAAATGAATTAATTAATTTGTTTTTGTTTTTTTCTTCATCTTTTTAATTTAAAATTAATTTAATTATTCAATTAAAGGTATTAATGCTTATGATATAATGAAAATTTTCAAACAATTTTTAACGAATTTTTTGTTCTTTTGAAATTATTCGTTGCAATTACAAACGATTGGATTATTCGATAATTCAAATAAAATTTATAAGCTTAGAACACGCAATTATCACAACAAAATTAATTTTCATCTTAAAGAACCATTTAAAATATAAAAAAAACAAAGAAATATTTCATTACTATGAAATTTACTAATAAAACAAATATATTTGAGGGATTTTGAAACAAAATTAATTTTTATTAATTAATTAAATTTTAGCATTCTTTTCTTTCTGTAATTTAAAAATTCATTTAATTAAATTTTAATTTATTTAAATTTTTTTTCGTATTTATAAAATTACTAAAATTAAAACAAATTTGAATTTAAAATTAATAAAATGTATTCTACAAATTCTTTGTAATATTATTAGAATGAAATTAAAATTTTGTTATCAATTGAATAAATGAAACGAATAAATAAAAATAAATTTTATTGATAACAAATTTTGGCATAATTGTTAAATGATAACTTTATCATTTACTTCATTGATAACAAATTTTAAGTTAGCATATTTGTTAAGTGATAACTTTATCATTTACTTCTATGATATTTTTAGTTCATGTAAAATCGTTAAATTTAATCATATAAATTATTTAGCATGCTTACATCGATATATTTCTAATTTTCCATTCGCATTCGCTCACAGTTATCCGTTCATTCCAATCAATGATAATGCGACAATTCCGTATGGTGGCGGTATTCCAACAGCTATCCATCATAGTTCCGGACAATCTCTTATCGATCCAAATGAATATCATTTCGAAAATATGGCTCTAAAGGTTACAATGTTTAAACTTTTAAAATTTCAGTATCACAAATATAAAAGAAACGATTGATTATCCAAAAATGTCTTTTTTTAATTTAGCAAATTTTAATTATTAATTTCTTGATATTTCCTAATTTTAGCTTCCTAATTTATTGTTGATTATTAATTAAATCATTTCGGCTCTTTTTTAATTTCAACTATTTTTTTCAAATGTTGAAATTTATTACATTTCAAATAAGCGTTGTTTAATTTGATGAAATTTTAGGCACTTGGTGGTTTCATTTTGATATTAAATGAAAATGGTGATATTTATTATGTATCCGAAAATATTGAAACATACCTTGGATTTCATCAGGTAAAATTGAAAATATCAAAAAAAGTAGCTTGCTAGATTTTTAATTTCATATAATACTATAAAATCAATTGCTGAGGCAAATTTATTTTATTGACAAATCTTTAAATTAAAATAAAGTTTAGCAGATATAAGCTATATAGTTAATATAGTGATAAATGATTATCTTCATTAAATGAGAAGTATGATTAATGATTAATCAGAAGAAAAGATCTTAAGTAACCTGTTACTTAATTAATTAATTAAAATATTGTGGTTATATATGAAAATTTAAAACTTAATTTTCTTCCAAACTAAAAATAATCCTTCTAGCGATTGTATTGTGTTTTATTTTTTCAACAAAAAAAATGATAAGAAATTATCAGATATCTTTTTCAGTCGGATATTCTTCATCAATCCTTATTTGAAATGATTCATTCGGAAGATCGGGAAGATATCAAATTACAGCTAGCCTGGAATTACAATATTCCACTTCATGTGACCTGTTTACAAGATATTTTAACACCTAGTAAGAATTGATTTTATCAAATGAATATCAATTATCAATTATCAATAAATATTTTGTATCCAAATGGAATGATTTACTTCATTTACAATATTGCTTTCTTTTTCACCATTTAAAATAAAAGTTCATGTTCAGGTGGTATGCCTTATTTAGAACGAAATGTTAGTGCTCGATTTCGTTGTTTATTGGATAATACTTGTGGATTTCTGGTTTTGCTTTTTTGTTATATTTCAAATTTTTGTATTCTTTTTTTTAATTAATTTGAATTTATGTAAATTAGCAAACTATCTTACGTAACCAAAACATTATTACACGTAAATGAATTCATAACTTTTACTATTAACAAAGTAAATCAAAAAGATGTCAAAAAATTTTTTGCTATTTGTAGAGGATAGACGTACGTGGAAAGCTAATGAGTCTTCACGGTTTACCACATTCCTACCTATTAAACAGGATTGAAAATCATTTATCCGGCAATGTTGTTCTTGGTTTAGTTGCTATTTGTAGGTATGTATGTATGTCAGTATATCATTCCGGTTTTACAACATTTATCATCTGAAAAATTTTCCCTAATATTCTACCACTTTTTTTTTTCATTCCATTGATGAAAGTTGTTGAAAAATTCTATTCGAATAAAATTTCAAAATTAACAATCAAAAATGTAATTTGCATATTTCAATTTCAATTTTGATTATTTTTAGTCCATTTGTTCCACCGAATATTATCGATCAGCAACAAATGGATGATCCGATCTTGAAAACGAAACATTCTCTTGATTTTACACTTATTTCAACAGATAATCGAATGAAGTTTACTTTTAATTTTTTACAAAGATTTCAAAACAAATTTTATAAAATTTATTTTTTCACTAATTTTTTTGGAGTTAATTTTGTTTTAAACAAAATTGATTAAATATTTTCAGAGCTTTGTTAGAATTGGACGAGACGAATTTGCCACACAGTTTTTATAGTTTAATTCATGTTGACGATGCGATATGTCTTGCAGAAGCTCATAAAGAAGGTTTCTTTCATTAATTATCAAATAATAATATAAGCAAAGTGATCAGTGACTAATTATATATCGATTAGTATGATCACAATTTTGGATTCACAGATTTCAAATCGTAACATTGCTAGAAATGTAACATATACAACGAACATTAAATACATTGTTAATTTTCCATCTCTTTTTTTCCTCAGTTTTGGCTGTCAACAATTTTTTATATGAAAATTTGAGAAAAAATTTTAAGTAATAAAAAAAAGCTTTTTGTTTTTCGTTAACATTTTTCATAGCAATTTATAACATTTTTGAAAATTTTGCAATTTGTTGAAATTAATCGATCGCAAATTTTTTGAATTGCATTTGAAAAGAAATGAATAAAAAATTTTAAAAGCAAATTTTTTCGTAAGTAAAGAAATTAGTGAAAAAGTGTAATTTAAATGTGAAATTTCAACAAATCTCAACGATCGCCATCCATTGCTATTTATCATTGCAAAAGAACATAAAGCGAAAGACTTCATTAAATGAATTAAAAAAAAGTTGCAAAAATTTTGCAGTAACAAAGAATAGTGCAAGTGGTATATTAATTTATCGCTTAATTGGTAAACGAAGTCAACGCATCTATTGGATTCAAAGTAGCTGCCGGATGTTTTATAAAAATGGTAAACCGGAAATGATTGGTTTAACACATCGACTTTTAACGTAAGTTATTTAAGCAAAGAAAAAAAAGACTATAATTTTTTTTTGCGAAATTAATATTTGAAATTTGAATGATTTTATTGCTGTCAATTTGTTATGACAGTTATTAAATGTTAATCCTAAATTATTAAAAAAAAAAAATAGAATCCATTAATAAATAATTAAACAGAATAAATCGCACAAAAGTAATCACAGAACCTAAAGAAGAAGTAGTCTGAAATATAACTTAGCAATCTGGATAATCCAAAATCTTACGAGACATCTCCTACATCATTCATTTTAAGAGCGATTGGTTTTAAGCTAATTTCGATCTTGTAGTATATTTTTTTGTAGAATATCACTGGTGCCCAATAAAATTCAATGTCAACTGAGACTGATAAAATATTCCACCCTGATAATAAAATAAATATTTGACCATGATAATAAAATAAATATTTGACTCTGATAATAAAATAAATATTCGACCCTGATAATAAAATAAATATTCGACCCTGATAATAAAATAAATATTCGACCCTGATAATAAAATATTCGACCCTGATACGATTAAAAATTTATCAAAAATTCATTTAATAATTTCTTTCATTCACTAATTTCCAATATACCATTATGTTTATATCAATACATTTTTCAATGAAGAAAGAAATTGGAAACGAAAAAAACGATTTCAATTTTATTTCATTTCGCATTATTTTCTCTTTTTGTCTGTTACCATAGCAATAATAATAATAATATTTCAATTCCCTTTTTTTCTCCTACTCATACAATTTTTTCCCATTTAACAATTCAAATAAATTAATTGCAAATTTTATTTATTTTTATAATTACTCATTTTAATGAAATTTATTCAAAGAGTAAATGAATTAAAATTTGAAAGAAGAAATTCTATAGATAGCAAAAATTATAAATTTATTATATACGATTGACAAATGTGATTATATATATATATAAATTATAATTAATTAAATTCATACTAAATATTGTCAGTGTAATAACTGTCAAATAAAATTTGTGCTAGAATATTTAATTATTTGTAATTCCAAAAATTTATTAATTACAATATCATTTTGGTATTTCTTTTAGAGAAGTTGAAGGGATGATGTTACTCGAAAAGCGTACATCACTAAGAGCTAAATTATTATCTTCTGATGATTCATTGTTACAATCACCTGGAAATTTGCAATCCACGGCAGCATTATCATCATCATCCTGCGGTAAAGACAAGTAAAATTATTAACCAAAATTGAGGATTTGTTATTTAAAATTAAGAACTTAATGAATAATACGAATTGACTAACTAGACAGGCTGGCAGCATCGGTGGTTCAGTGGTAGAATGCTCGCCTGCCACGCGGGCGGCCCGGGTTCGATTCCCGGCCGATGCATTGTCCTTTTACACTGCTTAACTTAATCTCTTTTATATTAGATAGAAAAAGCTCTATCATTTTTTGAGATATTGGATCATTATCATTTTATATGGCTAATTCTGATAAGAATCGTTGTTCAATCTCAAAGCGACACAATACACAATTTTTAAAATTACCTTCAAGGTGAAAACTTATTCAATTATTTAATCATATAATTCACTAATTTACTTATTCACTAAAATACTATCCTATCAGAGATATTGGAATTTTTTACATCAATCGTTAGTTTGTATTTCACGTACGTTATACATTTCATTCATAACAGAAGAGTAAAATAAACAATTGTTAATTCCAATAAGTTTTGATATTTTATGGTTTTTCTCCTTACTTACGTATGCCTAGTAATTACACTTAATAACGTGTGTAGCGTTGAGCTTAGTAATTACACTTATTGACGTCTGTAACGAATGTATAGAAAGTATGAAGAAATCATGCATCATTTTCAACTCGTTATTATCCGTAAAATGAAATAGAACAGCAACATTCAGTTTGGTTAATAACAATGATAACTTTCAATCGGATATTCTTTCGGAAATTTTGGAAGGAAAATTTTCAGACAGAAACAGCCAATATCGGTACCGATAAATCGAGATTTATCAACACAAGCATCAGCAGCAATAGCAGAAGTTCAACGAGAGCAACATTTATCACCACGTGGACGTAAACGGAAGAAAGAGATCAATAGCATTAATGCTAATCAATCATCCATCTTATCAGTACCACAATATTCAACCTTTATGATTCCATCTACAAGTAACGATTTGAAAGAAGCACAGGTAAATTAAATTATTTTACAGTTTATAAAATTCATTTTAAAATTTTCAAATTTTTGTAGAAATTCATAGTTTTTACAGTTTTCTTTTTCAAATTATTTGATGTCAAATTTTGCTTTCAAATTTGAACATTTCATTTTTTTGGAATTCCCAAAATTCTTCTGCTAATTTTCTTTTGAATTTTAAAATTGTTATTTTCAGATGCAAGACGAACGACAACAACAAATGATGATTGCTGCTACAGCAACTTCTTGTATGAATGATACTCGGATACCGCGGATAACTCAAAGCGAAAATTTTACCACTACTGCTACAGCAATTCATAGAGTATCGGAAACGAATACATCAATGATCCCGGGATTACTTCATTTACCTCAGGTGTTAGCAAATTAACAATTTTCTTTTCTCACTGTCTCTTTTTGCAAGTAAAAATTTCTTTAACATTTTATAATTCATCATTGATAATAATTAGATTAAATCATTTTTAGGATCTAACCGGCTTTTCGGCACTAACACCATATTTTTCTTCCGATAACAATACTGGAACAGTAGAAAATGATCAAAATTATCAGTGGTCATCATCATCATCAATGAAAACGAACTATTGGCCATCATCATCTGACTTGTACTATCAGAATTATATGACTAATAATGCTGGTATTCATTTAACATCATTATCAGTTTGTCCATTGATATATCTATTCATTTAACATTACTATCATTTTATTTTTAAAAAATAAAACAAAAAAAGAGGAAAAAAAATTTCAATTATCACTTTTCTATTAATTAGATTATGCAACAACAATTTCGAGTGGATTTTATTCATCTCAAATGGATCAAAATAATTTGTTACCTAGAAGGAATCGTGTAGAATATCCAACATTTTTTACTACCAGCGATTTAACTTCTACAGGTATTTATTTCATTTGATTTGTGGAACGGTGACCCAATATAACCTGAGAAAGTTAGTTCATCCTGATGAAACCTACATCTACTCATGATAATTAAAGATTTCAGTCAGTCAGGATACGCATGTAGAAAATTCGATTATCTTTAATATCATTTCAAATAATTGGGGATAATAAAACTTCCGTCCTTTTCAATCGGACAGCTGCACGTCAGATTACTTTCAATTTCGCAGTATATCCAATCCAATGATTGATAATCTAACTTAATCTACTACAAAATCTCAAATTCTAATTTAAAAAATATAGCATGCAATTACATTTAGTTTCCACTTATACACCAACACCCGCTCAGTTGCTATTATCGTCATCGGAATTATTACAACCACCAACTGTTGCACAACAACCCACAAATTCAATGTTCAAGTCGACAGTATTATTTGAAACACCGGAACACTCAATAACAGATGTAGGTTCCCGGAAGAATTTCTCTAAATTTAAGTTAAAATTTTTTTTCATATAGATTTAATTCTAATCAATATATTTTACAGGTATTTAAAAATTTGTAAATTTTAATATTTCACCTAAATTTCCTATTCTCAGTAATTATTCAAACAATGAAATAATTTTTAATCCTAAATAAAATAATAGCTAAATTTTCAATGAATGCAAAAATTTCTTCTCATAAAATAAAATAATTAAATGAATTGAAATAATTGCTTTATTTTTTGCAGACATTTAGTGGAACTATTAGTGATTACACTCAATCAATGCAAATGATAACGGATGATAACGATGGAGAAGTGGTAAATTGTAGCAATACATCAGGTCCGACCAGTTTTAATCTAATTTCCGAAGTAGCAAATACCCTTCTTGGATAACATTTCCTACCATTTTACTATTTAATATATTCAACCGATTTTAATAGTTTTAAAAACAATTTTAAAGTTCAAAAGGTTATTAGTAGAAAAAAATCAAAAATAAAATCTTCCTCTTTAAAAAAATATGTAAAATATGTTTGGCAACATGTCATCGATGGTATAAAATATATGTAAAAAGTATGACCAAATATGGTATGTATATGTCTCTGTTACCAGCCAATATGGTATGTATATGTGTCTCTCTTACCAGCCAGTCTTTCTAATTATTTACTTCAACTTTCAATAATTTTAATTGAAATTGAAATTAAAATTTACTTTTAATTAAACATTAATATTTGTTGTATATTTGTTGTAAATTTCCCATTTTTGTATCATTTTTCATGAATAAATTCCCATATATATAATCAATCCTTCTCCCTTCTCATCTCATTAACAATAAAATATGCTGACAGTATAGCAAGAACTGAAGGAAAAGGATAGGGACGGAAAAAAACTCATTAATACCGGACAGTCAGGTGGTTGCAAGAGAGACGAACGAACGGAATGTGAATACGGTTTTGATGAATATATAAATAGAAAATGGATTTCTTTCTTAATGAATATCCTTTGGGAAATAGAGATTTAAAGACGTGTATCGTCGATATTATTCGCCACGTCATGACCTTAGAATTCGCCATTTTTTCTCTTTCGTTTGCAGCTGTAGCAGCAAAAAGAGTAATAATAATAATAATAGTAATAGTAGTAATAATGATAATAATAATAGTAATAATTAATAATTAGTAATAACTAATAATAATAATAACAATGATAATAATAAATATTCATTTCTCAAATAAAACAGAATATTTATTAATTTGATTAAAATTAAAATCAAATTTATTTGTGAAATTTGTAATAATAATAACAGTAATAGTAATGATAATGATAATGATACTAATAATACATTTTAGAAGTCCGAATTCCATTTTCCATTTTCTTTTTTTGATAAAACAAAGAAGAAAATAATAATAAATATCGAGTATTTTGAATTGGTAATGGGAAGTTGGTTAATTAATTAATTAATGTTTTAGTATATATCAAAGATTTTGAGCAACAATATTGAGGATAGAGGGAGTCAGAAAAAGAAAGAGAAAGAGAGAAAAGAGGAGATTTTCAGAAGTATTTCAAAACATCTTTTTACTTCAACTTTTAATTTCGAAAGCAAAATATCGCATGAATTTGAGAGTTATGAAAAAGAAAAAAAGATACCAACGATAAATATCAATTTAGCTTTACCGAAATTTGGATAAAATTTAAACGAATTCACTTCTCATCTGTCATTTATCACTTATGTGACAGCTGTGAAAGGTACAGGAGATGGATGAGATGATCAAAAGTAAAATTTAAAAAAGCTTTTAAAATTTGATTGAGATTATAATTTGCATACAATACAACTATTATAATAGTTTTAAAATGATGAAATTTTGATTTATAGAAAAAATTGGCAGCAAAAAAATTTTAATCCGAAATTAATACTTAAAATATTATCAAACTGAAAATGTAAATAAACAAACAATTTAGGACAATATTTTAATCTTACCTGCTAGAAAAATGAATAACAAACAAGCAGTAATTTTAAATACCAGTTCTATCTCGAGAAAGCGCTTGTATTTAAATTCAAACAGGTTCTATTCGGATAACCGGAATAACAAAATTTCATCTTTTGGAAATCAAAAAATGTATATCATACCAAGATGTCAAATTTGTTCACAGGTTTTTATAAGTTTTATAATTTCATTAATTTTTAAGCTTTATCATTCATATCAATTTTGATACGGTAAATTTCGATTACAGCAATAATGAGTTATTTATAATACATTATATATATATATATATATATATACAGATAAACAAGCAATGATTAAAGATATGTTTCGTAAATTTTCAAAAATTTCGAAAAGTAACATTTTTGAATTCCTGAGAATTACGATAGTTTCATTGAATTTGCAATAAATGACCAATATAAATAAATGCAATAAATGACCACGAAGAGATAATAACAGAAATAGGAAAATTATGGGTACAGATGCACAGAAGGATAATATTTCGTGGTAAAAAATAAAATAAAGAGCCATATATCATACATTGATAAGGAACGGTAAATTAATTGTGAAATGTTGAAATTTAAATAATTGAAACCATAAAGTTATGAAAACTTTACTAATTATATTTATATGATTGCGATCGCAATTGATAACATTTGATGGGATATAAAAGCAAAATGATATGGTTTGTAATGAAGTAAGACAAATGATAACAGGTATCTTTCATTATTTCAGTATTTTTATAATTCCATAATAAATTTAGGGAACTTTATAAGGAAGACATAAACTCCATCTATAATTTTAAAATCTTTATTTTATCATTATCATCGTCATCCTCACCACTGTTAACATCATCATCCAACATAATTACATGATTCAAAGCTATAGAATCGAACATTGGTTCTGATATTGAAATTGGTCCCGCTGTTGTTGCCGTTGTTACACCATCCGGTAATACAACAGGATTAAAGACATTAATCTCATCGTTATCAATATCATCACTAGTACCAACATAATCATCACCGATAGCAGTATGATTATCATCACTATTACTATCACTATCATTATCACCATTATCAACATTTTCAGTGATAATATAACTATTGCTATTGCTACTAACATTTCTAGTATCATTATCACGGGAATTATTAAAATAACCGAGAGAATCAATAGTTTGTCCTGTATCACATGATGATGATAAGCTAATACGATCAATATGTTCTAAATCAGACTCGTAACAACAAATTCGTTGAACTGGCAAGAATTCCATTCCGATATTCGTAATATTTGAGTCTCCAGAATTCGATCGTAAATTTATGAATTGCTTCGGATTGGAAATTTCCGCAAGATTTGATCTTTCCATTGTTCGTCTCATTAACGGATATCTGCTAATTTCAATTATTCCATTATTTAATGATGTTATCGTTGGTACTCGAATGATACTACGCTCAGCGTCATTTACAATTCCACTAATGTTTGAAGGGGTCGAGTTAACAGATGAAGCGGACAATGTTTCAGCTGATGATAGCGAATTCGTTAGTGAATGTTTTATTTTGTTCAGTGATAATGAACGTAAATATGCTCCTGAAAAATTACAAATCAAAAATTCAATGCAAAAGAAGCGAAAGAATGGAATATAAATATGAAATGAAATAATCGATATTGCTATATTTTACAAATGGATGGATATATTTGGGAAGAAAAATTTGCAATAGTTCAATGATCAATTAGAACACTTGAATGTTTCCATCAAAAGAATTAAAAAGAATTGAATTCGTTGTAATTTTTTTCATTCGTTCAAAGATTTTAATTTTGAATTAATAATTGGAGAGAAAGAAAGAAAAGTAAAAGTTGTGTTGGATGAGAAAAAAAGAAAATTAAAAACAAACTATTTAAAATTTTTTGCTCTTCAATATCAATCAAATTCAACTGATATAATTTATCGTTCAAAATTTTGCGCAATTTAATCGCTCGAGCAACCAATTCGACACGCTGTCGAATATTTTCAAAAATAACAATCATTCGCATTTGATGAAATGAACCAATTAATTTCACCAATTCCTCATGACTCATCTCTGTTACAACATGGCCATTTATCGATATGATTACATCACCTACAATTAAAAGTAAGCAATATATATTCCGTATTGTTAGCAAATTTTGCTGATATAATTTTAGTAATATGATTAAATACCTGCGCGAATACCAGCATTAGCAGCTGGACTATCAAGTTGAACGTAATCTACGTAAGTTACTTTCGAAGGCACATCATCACCTTTTCGTTTCAGCAAATATGTCTGCAAAAAAAGAAACTGGAAATTAATTTTCGAAGAATTTTTATTTCAATTTGCAAGAAGGAAAAATTTAGTTATTGAAAAATTTCAGCAAAAAAAGATTTACTATTCATCTGAACTGAATAAGCTTAACAATGTGTCATTATAATCTATTCTTATATCTATCTTATTTCATATTTTTACTTGTAGAGTAAAACCAAATGGTTCATCATTGTTACGGGTAACTATCACCGTACGACGCCGTCGATTTAAATGCGGATCTGTGATCACTTTTTGATCCACCGATACTGCATCCAATACTTTCTAAAAAAGATTCTTTTCATCTAATCGATACTTCGTATCGTTACAATATTCCATCTTATTGTTGTAAAGGATGAAAAGAAACCAATATTATAGCATTCGAGCAATGCATTATACCATTGTATATCAGAATTTGAAGAAAAGGTATTAAGTTTCAAAAATTAAAAAATGTAAAAAAATCTTTCCCTTAAAAATTAATTAATTAATTTTTAAAAAGAAGAAAAGTGCAGAAAATGAATACTTGGACATTTTCTTCATCATCCACATAAAATTTGCTCCATAATTTCGTTTTGTCAAGTGATGTAAATGAATGATAAAATGGAGAACGAGTGATATTATGAAGAAATGTTCGACTAAATGATGAAGATGTTGACGGCGATAATCTGTAAATTGCTGTTCACATGATATCCCAGATTTTATACAGCAATATATATCAATTACACAAAGATTATAACGATATAAATAATTGAATTTAATAACAGATTTGTTTATTGCATACTTATCACTAATAACACTAACAATTTTATATCGTAATTAACTTAGCATGTATGCGCTACAATAATAATGATCATATTAGTGATTGAAATTTAACTGTATAAGAAAAATTGTTTGTTTATGTATTTATTGTATGTATATCACTGATAACAATAATAATAATAATATGTTATGTAAATAACAATAATAATAAGCTTGATAATAATAATTAAGCTGATTTTACCATTATTATAGGATACTGTTCAAAAGTAAAAAGGAAAAAAAAACGAAACAAAGAACTTACGATTTGACAGATTTTAATGTTGCAGGAGAAATGGACAATGGCCAATTAAACATGCTATTCCTTTTAAATTTATCCTCCAATTACTGAGGTCATAATAGCATATAGTCAAATGTGCCATACAGTTGAGTTGTATATTTATTGAAAGATATATTTATAATATATGAATCGAACCAAGTAAGAATTAAACGTTCGGGAAACAATTCATGCTGTAAAATCAATAAATAAACATTGCTTATATTATCAATGATAGTAACGGACAATAACAATAATGATAATAATAGTGATAATAATGATGGAAATGATAAGAAACAGAAATAAACATTTATTTTATAGTTTCAAAAAAAAGAGAGAAAAAGAATTTTACAACAAGAAGAGGTGAAAAGAAAGAAAAATTAGAAGGAAGAAATTTTTGCGATACATACACAAAACGTACATTACAACGTATATTATTAAGGCAATGGTTAAGATCATCCATTTTTTTAAATCTTCTTTTTTGAAATTTGCACTAATTGAAAAGAAGAGGAAGACAAAGGGAAGAAGTTAAAAGATAAGAAATTAATTCATTAAAAGGAAAGAATGAATAAGCAGGTGGATGGGATGATAAAATAACAAAATAAGCATTTTATTTGAAGAAGAAAAATGTGTCATAAAAGTTGGTTGAAATTTTTAAAAATTCTTCTTCAATCTATTTTGAAGAGGTATGAATGAATGTATATATCATTGATAACACTATGATAAATTGTTGCATATGCATTGAAGATGATTAAGTGATAAAAAGTCAAATGATAAGGATGAGATGAGAGATTCTACGCGACAAAAGTGCAAGGGTCAACATATTGAATGAATGTATATATCATTGATAACACTATGATAAATTGTTGCATATGAATTGAAGATGATCAAGTGATAAAAAAAATCAAATGATAAGGATGAGATGAGAGATTCTACGCGACAAAAGTGCAAGGGTCAACATAATCTGAATATACATATATATGTAAATGAGAAATTCAACATTCAAGTGTAAAAGGTTGAAAATTAAGTTAAATTTATCATCAAGAAAATATAAAATCTAATAAATTCAAGAACTGGAATTTAAAAACATATTGGAAATATATCATACTCATATTTTTGGGTATTAATTACTTCGTGTGTAATTAAATCTTTTTTTTTTAAATAGTCATTTGAACAAATTAAAAAATCTATAAGACCAAATAATTGACTGACTGATTGATTGATTGATTGAATTATATTAAAATGAAATAAACTATGTAAATGAAGAACCGGCTGCCAAAGTGTCAAATTATCAAATTTCAACAAGCAGATGATACGGCGCAGTAAATTTTCATCTATTTGATGAATGACAAAAATTATTACAATCGATTAAATCCCAAAGAAAATATGAACAAAAAAGGAAATATTATTAAATTAAAGAGAAAAATTTTTGAAACTTTTCATTCTATTGAAAGTTGAAATTATTTGAAACAATAAAATAATTAAATTAAATTAGAATACTGTTTCAGTAACGTATCCGGAAAAGAGTCTAACAGAAAAGAAAGCAGTGATAAGTGAAAAAAAAGGAAACGAAGAAAACGGAAGACGAAATTATTCGTTTTGGTTAGTGTTCGTTTTCTTCAAATAACTTACTCTCTGTTAAAAGATGAATGAGAAAAGGACAATGATTTTATGATAGAATTAAATTTAGGTTAATAAAAAAGTTCGCTTCTTCTGATCAAACATAAATCATGACAATTCAAATGTTGCTGACTTCTGTTTGAAAGCTTTATGAGAAAGTTGAAATTAACGGTGTAGTAAGATCCTATCTGAACACACTAATATCATATCTCGAAAACTGCCGAGATGGATCCCAAGAAGATCAAGCATTACAATCGGTAGTAGGAACAGCAAGAAAGAAATTCGAAAACATTATCAATAAGACTAAGAAGAATGCACAAAATTCATTAGCATATTGGAAATAAATCCGAAAGTGTTTTGAAGAATGCCGAGATATAGTATCCATTATTTATGGAATTATCCTATAATCGAATTGCATACCAAAAATCATATCAATGCAGTAAATTAAGAGGAATAAAATTAAAATTATTTAAAACTGTTTGAATTGAATTCAAGAAAAAGTTATTAATACATATAAAGTACAAGTACTATTTAAAATAAACAAAGGCAAATAATTACTTTAATTTTAAAATATTGCTTAATTAACACTTCATGCGTTAAATAATATGTTGTAAAGATGATGTAATAAACTATAACTGATGATCTTCACAATTATTTTAAATAAATTAGAACTTAAATAATGCAGTACATGCAGACACACACACACACACACACACACACACACACACACACACATACACGCACATATATATAACAGCCAAATGGTTGTTTAATATTTGTCAAAGATGGAGGAGGATGATGGCTTCACTTTATTGAACAATCAACCATCAGTTAACATAATGCTAATATTTCTGAATATTATAATCGCCAACACTCACTTATGTGTGTGTGCGTGTGTCTGTATGTGTCTGTCTATATATGTGTGCACTTAAATAGATTTCTAAAATTGAAGATTATAATGCAAACTGCGAAATATAAAATAAATTCAAGTGAATAATCCATTTCACTATTCCATTCAATCAAACGAAATATAAATTCACAAAAAAGAAAATTTATTGTTTTATTGTTTACTTTTTATTATCATTCTGTTATCATTGAAAATTTGATAAGCTAAACAAAATATATATATGCTTTCTTATCATACATATTTATCAATCATTTTTGTTTTTAGCATTAATTTTATTTATCTTTTTTTTTTAATTATAATTAAATTAAACTAATTTGCTATAATTAATTAATCCAAAAAAAGATTAATAAAGTATTTTATTGTTAAAGATAGAATAGAATTAATCCAAATGGAAATTAATTAATTGATTAATTGAAGATTAGAATTAATTCAAAAATAACACATTTTATAGTATTAAAGATGGAGAATATCAGCAAAAAACGAAAAAATGATAATAAACGAAATTTCGAAATGAGAAAATAGAAACAATCAATGAATAAACAATAGAAATGGGAAATCAATGAAAACACCGACGGATGATGGAAATGACATATAAGAAATGAGCAAATAGATGACACATATCGATGGTGGTTGTTTACAAATATATAAAATGCAACAGAATGAGAAGAAAATTGTAGCGAAACTATATTTCGTAAGAAAATCAAACATTGTATTATCGAATCTGAGTCAATTTTCTCTTATACTATTTATTTTGAATCAATATGATACGTTGTACTATTTCCAATCACGTGATACGCTATATTACTTTATATCACGTGATACGTTATTCTATTACTTTATATCATGTGATCAGTGATCTTTTACAACAACTTTTCATCTTATTATTTTTCATTTCAAATTTAAAAAATTAACCATTTGTAATGCATAGGTAATTATGTAAGTAAGCGCATGTGGGTGGATAAATACGTATGAATACGTACGTAGATATGTATCAAAGATTTTTATGATGGAATTACATGAACGTTTCCTTTTGTATCCATTAAAAATTGTTACGTTATCATTCCAGAATAGGAATCATTACTCAGAGAAGAATTTTTGTCTGAGATAAAGATCATTAAGAAGTTGAAACAATCAATGAATAAGTAGAGAGAGAAAATTTAAATTAAATTAAATGCCGTAAAAGAAATCAAGCAACCAGTTGGTAAATTAAGATAAAATTCAAATGTAAGATTGTTGAGAAATGGATAAATTAAATTAAACAAACTAAAATTTTTCATCTTCTCAACAACTTTCATTTAATTTAATTTAATTTAAATTTTATTTTAATTAAATCAAATAAATATGTTCGATTTGTTTCAGACAATTTTACATGCCTAATGATATTATTTGGAAATAAAATAATGCAAATTAAATAAAAGTACTGGAAAACTTTTTTCAAATAATTAAGAATTAAATTAGAAAAAAAATTAATTTCTCTTTGAAATTTTATTGATATAAAGGAGATATTAGAGAGAAAAGCAAAGAGGGAAAATATTTGATGAAATGTAGAAAAATGTAGAAAATTTGAGAAAGAAAGAAAAAGAATTTCAAAAATTGAAATGAATTTTTTGAAAAGAAGAAAAGACTTAATAATATTTTAAGAAATTTAGACAAAACAGAAATTTTTTCAGCGAGGAATTAATATTATGTTGAAAGTTGCAGAATATTAAAATGCATAAAAAAAGGAATAAGTGATTACTTCCATTCTTATCATCCTTATCACTGATAATCATTTAGAATATTTGTTAATAAATTTAAGCAAATTTGTAAAAAAGAGGTTCTTTTATCATCCGAATTGATACGATTAATCATTTCTAACATTCAGCTTTATCACCCGAATTGATGCAATTAATCATTTCTAACACTCATTCTAACTTTAATTATAATTTCAATTGTATCCTTTCATTTCCTTCCGATTATTATTACTGTACAAATATGTTTGAATGTTTGAAATTTGACAAAAGAATAATTAACTATTAGTGTATCACCGAGAATTAAATCTGTCCCGTGAAATTTTGCATAAATTAAAAGTGTCAACTCGAAAATGATATAATAAATTAAAATGAATATAAAACTTAGAAAAATTAATTAGAATAGACAAATGAATTGGAATAGATAGGCTTGATAGAATGCTGGTAAAAGTAGAGGAAAGAAGAGTAATATGGGTGGAATTCATTGTAGAATTCCATATTTTACAGAGAGATGAAAAGTGCCATATTGAAAAATATTGAAGTGGCATTTGTCTAATGACGCTATTAGTCTTCTTTTAATTGCTGTTTACAGTTTTCATTTATTTATTTTTTTGTTCTTTTCTTTTAATTAATTTCTTCTTTAAAAAAAATGCCTTATTGATACGAACATTTTCAAGTGAAAAGATCAAAATGCCTTTATATTAAATAACAGCAAAATTAAAGTGATAGATACATTTAAATGTTGAAGTTAAAAAATTTTGATAAATTAGACAGATAGATGGCG